CAAAAAAAAAAAAAAAAAAAAAAAAAAAAAAAAATTACATTAACCAAAAGTTCTTTGATTCCAAGTTCAATGTTACTTTAAAAAGAAAAAACAATGATTGCCAAGCTCTATTTACAGTGATAATGCTCATCTTTTATACTCGTGGAGAGCTGCCCAACTGTAGCAAGGACAGAAGATTTTGTGGTTTTTGCTTTTTGTTTTTTGAGACAGCGTCTTGTTCTGTGATTTCGGCAAGACTTGAACTCACTATGTAGCCCAGGCTGGCCCTCTAGCAATCTTCCTGCCTCAGCCTCCTGAATGATGGCATACAGATATATACTACTACACCAGGCAGGAAGGACAGATTCTGAAACATATACTACACCTAGATAGGACCTTCACATTTGAAGAGCAAAAATCTTTTGGGTGTTAAGAAGTGATTTGATTGGAAAATTCAAGAAAGGGCACTGATAAATACTTGCTGGCCAAGAACACAAACACCCACCTTAAGACTTCTGAATGGTATTTGAAGAGCAGGGGCTTTGTTTTGGTATCAATAAACCCTTAAACACTCCAAAGTTTGAAAGTCCACAGCCTTGTGTTTCTAAAATCTGTATATAGTTTAGTTATTCCCTTTGGTTAGAGAATAAGCAAAATAAACACTCTTCTCCCTTGCTTACTTTCTTTTCAAGATAGTGATTTGAGGCCTTTGATTTAATCAAGGGAAACTACATTAACATTTTGTATGATCTGGAAATTTTGACTGCAACTTTATTAACTACAAATTAACTGTATGTGTTTGTGCCCAAGTGAACTAAATGCAGAAATTCCTCCTTGGTATAAAACTCACCCATCATGAAGGAGGCAGAAGAGACTTTATTCATTATCCTTTCAGTGGTTTCATTGAATGGTGTGTATGCGATCACAAATCTGGAATCATTAAATGAATCTATGCGTCCCAGCTCCACAGAAGGCATTGATGAAAAATCATAAACATTATGAAGCGTGGAAAATGTGTACAAAGTCACTAGTAAAAGTGCCGAGTACAACCATTCCTACATACCCCAAGAGAAAGAATAAAGAAAAGAGTAAGTTCAAATAAGTCAGTCGCAATGTGTTTTGTCATGTAGCTGTGTTCTTGTCTGGCTAAATTTCTAATTCATCTCCTGCAGCATGCTCTTGTTAAAATATGCAAAGCACGGAAGTTGAGCAGTGTCGTTAATTTCAATGAATTCTTCATGGAAGTGAAGTTGATTGTTCTCCGAAGCTGGTGCCAGTACACTGGATTCTAATTCACACCAGAGGCATTGAGTGTTGCTCTGTGATCAGAGGCGTAACTTGACTAACCAGTGTGTTTGGTTTTACTACAAGCATATGTGGCAGAAGACAGTTCTGAGCATTTCTTTAGAAATAATGAATATATTGGTTACATGTCAACACTGGCCTGGTATGGAAGGAAGACTACGAATAAATTGCTTCTCATTTTTTAAATTTCCAAAACACTTTGTCTTATGGATAAATTCCCTGAATATATGCTTAGCACAATCACAATTTTTTTTTTTTATTTTTTATTTTTTTGGTTTTTCTCCGGTACCGGGAACTGAACTCACGACCTTGCGCTTGTGAGGCAGGCGCTTTGCTGCTGAGCTAAATCCCCAGCCCCTGCAATCACAATTTAAACAGCAAACGCTACCTAGATATACCAATATGATGCTGAAATGGCAAGATTATAAGAAATAGAGATGATTTCTTTTCTCCACCATACTGAATCAACTCTCAGAAGTCTCTATGTTCTTAAGAAACCAAATGCTTGTTGAAGAAGAAAAATAGAAGCAAATGTAAGTCCCTGATCCTAGAGATTATATCTATTGGGTCACATGCTCCTCATCCTTCAATTTACTACCATCTTAATCTTAATTCATCACTATCTTAATCTGGGATTAATGAGTATAATATTAGTAAAAGGGGAAAGGTTTATTTGATCTGAAGAGAACTAGAGTAATGAGTATAAAACTAGTTAGTTTTTTAAATGCCTTCCTAAACTTTTATCTTTGTTTTTTGTTTGTTTGTTTGTTACTGGGAATTGAACCCAGGACCTCGAGCTTGCCAGGCAGGCATTTATGCCACTGAGCTATATCCCTGGCCTTCCTAAACTCTTAAAGTATTTATTGAATCTCGATTGCTGCCTTCTTTATTATATTTAACCCTTAATGTAGTGCCTCTGCCTTCACTCCATAGAGGTGTGGTTTACTGCTTAGGGGCAGTCTGTAAAGATATTTGCCGTGCAGGGAGGCACATTTTGACAGCACACATATAAAGCCAGACAACATTGAGTCCTACCATCAAAGTGTCCCTTTTCATTCTCCATTTTTTAAGCAAGTTCTTGCAAAATAGGGCCCATGTTTGTTGACACACACTTATCTTTCTTTTCACCATTTTGCTGTTTAACTGAAGAAGGAGAAATAGAGGTTAAAACCTTCATATGAAGAGAAGATTTTATGAAAATAATTCATACCCTGATTACCCACCTTCCCAAAAAGATGTTTAGATGCTGTGAATTCCACTTAGCCATTAACTAACTCTCTAATGCCTTCTGTCGTGCCTCCTCCCACATCCAGACATTTTAACAGTGTGTTTTCTTAAATGCATACTCATCTATTTGTTCTATAAACACACCTTAGTGCATCTTCATGCTTAGATTCTCTACAATACAAAATCTTTCAAAACTCACATATCTGAAAACAATTCCAGAGGTGCTCTGTGAACTTTTACAGAAGTTGCTTCACTTAGATTACTAGGACCTGAGGGGAGTACACAATATCATTTTCCCTGGGAGGAAAACTTAAGTTTTACATTCCTTCTATGAAAACATTGTACTGTTAAAACAGAGAACATACCACACCAGATTTTTGGACCCGAATTATTCTGTACTTTTTGGCAGTGTAAATGGGACTATATCATAGATACAATGACTCTCTTTCCACAGGTAACAAGGTATCTGGGTGGTGAACCTAGAAAGGGGATTGCAGTTATTAGGTGTGGGATTATCAATCATCAGCAGCATCATCCTTCTTATCACTGTACAGAAATTTAGTACCACCTTCTCTGTCGATAATACACCAGAGTGGATATTTTAGGACAGTCATGAGTTGAATCAATGCATATATTGATTTCACAAGTTACTATGGAAAGACTGTAGTATGTGGTGTGCTGGAGGTGGGTGGAGGAGTTTCCTTGAGATGCATTCACAAAGTCTTGAGCTCTATTAGGAACCCATGAGCTTTGACCTATCTTTTTCAGCTTCCTGTCATTGACTGTCTGGAAGAATCAAAATGACGTGGGTTATAAAGGTTATAGTTGGTTATAGTCTCAGAGGGTTGATATGCTAAATAAAAACAAGGTGAGTGTGCTTTAGTTGGAGAGCTTGGGAATGGAGAGAAGTAGTACTGACTACTTTAGCACCTTAGACTGAGGAAGCAGACATTTGAGTATGAGTCAAACTTGAGCACTCACGCTCTTGCAAACTCTTGTTGGATGAGGGTGCTTATCATCCTGAGTACCACCTCAGCCAGTCTATGTTGGGCATATAGAATAGTACTATGGAAGGCAAGCTTGGTTTTTGGTCAGCAAGGAAATGGTTAAGAGAGTGAAGAGTTTTCTTTAGCAGCTTTTATAGCAATGTAAAATTTCTGTAACATTACAGTACATGTGTAGTATTTGTTCAAATACTGATCGGCAAATTGGAAATAAAGTAATTCTTCACAACATGGTTTGGAGGGCATTACTGTGTAATGTCGTGGGAAAATAGGGTTCTTCTCAAGTTGACTGCTGGAGAGAGGTGAGCTGCAGCCTGCTAGAATAGAATGCCAGGAGCTCTGTGGAAGGCCATATTGTCAATGCTGGTGCACTCAGCGTTTGGTAGATCTAGTCATCATGACCCTGACAGGCAGAGTAAAACAGCTGTAATTTCCAAGAAGTAAACCAATGGCACTTCTGCTCTGTGTGTGTGTGTGTGTGTACATGTCTGTGTGCCTGTGAAAATGTGGTGTGAGTGGGTGACATTGGTGAGAAAGACAGTGTGAAGATGTGCAGATGAAGGAAATTAGGTCTGGAGCATCCTGAAAGGAGCCCTGAGAATGAGTTATTAGGAGGTAGAAGTACAGTGTAGAGCAGTCCCCGCCTATCACAGAAACAGAAAGTCACACTCAGCAATCGCACTTGTTTGAAAGTGATGCTAAGGGGAGGAGGGGTCTTCTTAAAAGTTGGTGCACATGCCAAAGACCTCCAGAGAAATGGACCCAACAGGCCATATCTATACCTAGCTCTCTATTGATATGGATACACACCAAACATGACTGCAAAGAGAGATTAATTGACTTTAAAGAACTGGGTTCATCCAACTGTAGGGGTAGCAATTTTGAAATCCATAGAGAAGGCCATCAGGCTAGAAATTGAGGAAGCAGTTGGTATTGCATTCTTGAGTCCAACTTCGCAGGGCTGCCAGAGGGAAACTCAAGCAGGGCTCCTGGGTTGTAATCTTGAATGCCATATTCTCTGGGGGGAACTTCAGCATGTGTTTTCTGGGCCTTCAATTGATTAAGTAAAATCCACTCACACTTTGGATAGTAATTTACTTTCTTCAAATCTGTTCTTAAATGTTAGCCTAAGACAAATACCATTTGAACCACTGTTGATTTGTACTATTTTGTCTTGAGACCCTGTATCACTTTGAATGTTCTTGCTTTGATTTGTTTATGTTCATGATACTGGTCTGCTGCTACTGTTCTACTTTTTTGTTTGTTTCTCATTTACTTCTCTCTTTAAAAAAAAAAATTTAGACTAGTGTTTGAGCAACCAACTGGTCATAAGTCAGCCAAGTTGATGCACAAAATTAACCATCAAAATGTGGGGCTTTATACAAAGTTTACTGTAGCAGACACTGTATATATCTCCCAAGAGGAAAGGGTCAGTAGATGGTTGAATTTTACATCCTCCACTAAGCCCAATGAACAAATCCTACACAAATACAATGTGCTTGGTATTTCCTTAAAATCTTTGTCTATAAAGAAGAGCAACTGCTCATAATGTGTTTATAAAAGGTTGTAATTGCATGAGAAAATAGATTTCCTAGTCTGAATTACAAAAAATATTATTTTATAAAGAACACTAGTTTTATGTGAAGCATGATGTGATGACTTATATAAATGGAGCAGGACTTGAAGGCACAAAGCCTGCAGCTGACCTGGCCTATGTCAACTTGCATTTAGGCCCTGAAATTTGCTGGAGGTGATCTCTTTTTGTTTTCCATGTTGCTGCAGAATGACAAGCATAATGATCTGCAATATTTTCACAGAGATCAGAATAGTGCATCCCTGCACAAACATCCCATTCATGATCCCATTCATGAGATAGAGTCATATACTGGGGGTGCTCATTCCTGGGGTCAAAGGTCAGGTGAAGAGTGCAGGGGCAGTTTTCAATGGGAAGCACGGGGCCCCTGCACTCTCTGAGGCTACTACCAGACCAGGAACCTGTGCATGGCTGGTTAGCAAGACTGGGAGGCAAATGTAGTGGAAGCAGATGCTGGAGACAACCAGACAGAAAGCCCAGAGAATGACAACTAGGTAGAGAAGGAAAATCCAAGAGAAAAAGCTGCAGGTCAGGGTTCCAGGATTTCTATGAATTGCTTCTGACAGTGCAGATACTCTTGAAGAGATTGCTGGGCAGGATGAGTGCCCCAAAGGGGTGATCTCCTGACTGTAAAATCAGTCACTGCCCAGTGTAGCCTGATAAACAGAGTGGGATTCCCAAGTCTGTCAGTTTCCCATTGTAAATCAGTCTTGGTGTAAACAAGAGCCTTAAACTCTCCCACGTTCATTTTTCTTCCCTGATTCATATATGCTCTTTATTTAGTTCATTCTAAACAAAAAGTAAGGCATGGATTTGTTATGATGAATTTCGTAGTTTACTTCTAACTAGAAAGTTTCTGATTTCTCTCCTGTCATGCTGACGTTAAAAACAGAAGAAACCCTTTTGCTTCACCACAAGAAAGAAGAACTATCACAAACAACGCAGAATGGCAAAGAAGGTGGACTGGAGATTACACAGTTGTAATAAAAAGTGCACACTTCTCAGTCTGATTCAGCACACTTGTATTCTAAGAGTAAAAGATGCAGGAATGTATCTTCCATTTAAAAAATATCAGTCAGAATGAGAAGCAGAAACCATGAAAATATTTCTCTAAATACAAATAGTAAAAAGCCTCCTATTTAAGTACATACAAAATCCTGCAAATTGCTGTGTAGTAAAATCATACACTGTTTATACTTGCAAATGCATTTACATTCAAAGTCATACATCAGATACAGCCAAAAGATTTACATTTCTTATGACCTATCCATTAGCAAATTTCCAGCTAACTGGTATATTTTCTCATATTTTTTACCCCATTGTGATATAATAGTCATGATTTTTAAAAAGATATTTATTTGCAGAGTCCTTTCTGTGCAGTAAGCCAGCTGATATTTGGAAGTATTAAGTTAAATTTTTTAAAAATTTCCCCACAGATATTTGATATATAGTCCATGGAAACATATTTATAATTGTACAGTACAAACACAAAAATTAAGATAAACTTACTTTTGGAGCATCTGAAGAAAATGATCTACAAATTCACTTCATTCTGGGATCTTGTTAGTTCCAAGAAAATGGCTCACATTTCTTACTGGTCTGTATGACTTTCTTTACTGGAACTCTGCCTGCTCTGAAAGCTCCCAGTCAGATTGCTTTGTGGAGAAGGCACGGTTGCAATTTTCTTGGCCTGTTGAACACTGAGTTCATGTGATCACTCTTGAACAACTTCCTTTTACTGACTTCCAGCCAGCTTTTGCAGCAGAGACCAGCCAGCAATGCTTGGTTGTCTGGCTGTTATACAATTCTAAAGAGCTCTGTTGCAGAGGAAATCCAGTATTTGTAATTTTTCTATGCCCCAGAAGAAACTAGCAGATTTCAAAATATAAGACACTAACTTTAAACAGTAAAAAATGAAGAGCTAAGAGAAAAGGCTTTTATCTCTACCCAGGAGTCCTGGATCTTCTGATTGACATGTTGAGTCAAAAAGTTTCATCATTTTGAACCCTAGCCTTCATCTCATTTTTTATACTGTCTTTACCTCTATGAGAATTTTCAACCTGAACATTTTTGGTATTTTGGACTATGTAATTCCTTGGTGTGTCAGAGGGTGGAGGAACCAGTGACAGAGGAGAAATAAAGGAAAAGATCAAAGGAAATGAGAAAGCCAAGGAAATAACACACTGGAGTGTTGGGTGGAAAATTGGGTCATCATGTCAGACACTGAAGTACCCAAAAATGACGTCAGGATTAATGGTGAAGACACACTGTGGGTTTTGCATATGAATTGAGTCCCTAAGAATACTAATTCCACAAGATAACAAGGAATGTGAGTTCTATACATATACATTCAGTTTTATTGCGTTTGGCAACCATGAGCAATATTTTTCTCTGACAACGCCTAACTTAACAAATGAGGGAATATAGGATCTTGGTTAGGTAGTTAAGGATGGGTGGCGTGGAAAATTGGAGTTGGACAGCAAAATGTGGTTAAATACCACAGTCTTACATGATAAAGAAAAGGAATGAAGTTGACTAGAGCTAGAGTCAGAAGGCAGAACACAATATGGCTAGATTTTGAGACAATAAGTTCCCTTTTGATAATGTAAATAAATGACACAAAGAATGGCCAGGAAAGAATTTAAAAATAGTAGAAAAAAAAAAGAAGGGCTAGGGATAAAGTTCAGTGGCACAGCGCCTGCCTGGCAAGCGCAAGGTCCTGAGTTTGATTCCTGGTACCAAAAAAATAAAAAATAGTGAGAAAATGATCAATTGTTGAGCAAGCTGAGGTGGTAAAAGTTCTAGAACAATATGAGTTTCACTGAAGAAGAATGGAAAGGGCAATATCAAATCTGCATTATCTGACACAAATATTTTCGCCTCGATTTTCCATTCTTTTTCAGTTTTATTTATTTTTCACTTTTAATTATCATTACTTTGTAGTTATTGCATTTGTCTTTTGTAATTATTGCACTATTAGTATTATTGCATTTGTTTTTTCTTTCTTTTCTTTTTGCTTTTGTTTTTTGAGACAGGGTCTTGCTCTGCGGTTCAGGAGTCCTTGAACTTAGCGTGTCACCCAGGCTCGTCTCCTGCTTCAGCTTCCTGAGTGCTGGAACAATGGGGCATGCACCACCCTGCCCAGTGGGTACATTCCTGTTTGTATTCTCATGGACAGTCTGTTTCACCCTTTCTATTTCACTTCCTAAACTCAGCACTATTTGTCACAGGGTGTCATCTTAAATATATGCTCAACACAAAAGATCATGCACAAGCCAACGTGGTTCATGACTGGCATGCAGCTATGCAGATAAGAATGAAAATCCAAACTAAGCCAATTGTAAGAGAGACTTTGCTCTTGATCAAACAAATTAAAATTCAATATACATTTATTAGTGCGGAAAGAACTGTCATTATCCAGCCAGTAGCTAGAAACTTATATTACATTTTACATAGCTCAAAGTATTGAAAAGATTCATTTCCATCCACCCGCACACTTTCAAAAATTAAATCTGCAGGGGCTGGGGATTTAGCTCAGTGGCACATCGCCTGCCTGGCAAGCGCAAGGTCGTGAGTTTGATTCCCGGTACCAGAAAAAAACCAAAACAAAACAAAACAAAAAATTAAATATGCAAGTATTAATCATGACCTGAGAGATAGCTATATGTTTGTGAAAAAATAATGTTTCTGTCACATTCTAACTTGTGAAGTACACAAATGGTGATAAGATCTCTGAGGTGCTTTTCTGATCAGAATCCTGAGAGAATTTTGAATGAATGAGCTAAGTATATTCCCAAGTTCCAGGGAAGAAGGGTGGTGCGGAGTAAGGATTATTTTTCCTTCTAAGCTAACACATCCGCATCAACATTAACTTTTTCTGCATGGTTTTTTCTTCTGTAACTGGTGGGGTCCCCCTCCCCCCACAAAGCAGGATTTCACTTTGTTTCCAGTATTAGTTGTTTCACTTGATTTTGGAGATTCCACTCCAGACTTCAGTTAGTTGGGTACTTTATTTCCTCTCACAGAAATAATTTACAGACTACTGCGCAACACATTAGGAGGCCACTGCTCTCTTAAAAATATTCAGGGCCGTGACCTTCAAACAACAGTTATCGCAATGTTTATGTATACCTTTTATGGAATGTTGACCCTTTTCATTGCTAATTTACTAGATTGGTTGCATAAGAACAGTTTTTGGGGGCTGGGGATTTAGCTCAGCGGCACAGCACCTGCCTGGCAAGCACAAAGTCATGAGTTCAAATCCTGGTACCCGGAAAAAAAAAAAAAAGAACAGTTTTTGTACTGTGGTCCAGAAACCAAAACTCCCATGGAAACGAAATCCTCATTTTATACATCGCCTCAATGCAATAAAATTATCAAGTAGTTGATTTAAAAAAACAAATATTTAGAAAGTAGTTGATTTAAAAAAACAGATAAATATTTAGAAGACAGTATAATAAGGGTGATTTGGGGAATGTCTTTAAAGATTCTGCGTTTTCACACTCAGGTGAGAATATGCTGGCATCTAGGGGGTAGAGACCAAGGCTGCCATTAAATGCCCTACAGTGTACAAGACAGCTTCCACCACCATCCAAAAAAGAGCTTTGCAGGACAAAAGTTGTGACCCTGTGGAGGAAGTTGCACCTCATATAAGAATAGATAAATGAAATATCGCTAAAATTGTGTCTTCATAGTCTTTGCAATGTTTTCATTTATGAAGCCCTCAGGCTAAATTATTCATACCTTTTACTTCAACTACTCCAAACATTCACTCAGTCTAACTTTGTATACCAAGGTTTAGATCTCCTATATCATATGAAGCAGAGTGGACCCATCTAAACACATTTTGTCTAGGGTTAAATTGTGTTGCCTCCAGCTAGCTTGGGTTCTTGCTTTTAGTAATAGTGCCAATTAAAACTAAAGCACAGATCTCCAAAGGTGAAAGGATTTAATTGGGAAGCTAGAGGGAAGATAAAGGATTATAGCTTAGGTAGCTGGAAGGGGCATACGCTGATACAGGGCTTCAGACAGACCTACCCATAATGTAAGGTAGTCAGCTTTGGGGGATTAGTTTGTAGGTTGGAGTCCCCCTGAGTATTACCACAGTCCTGGTGTCGTAGTTCTAGAATCCTTTTGACTGAGGGGCGGTCTCATTTTCAGGTGACTTCATGACAATGGCTAGAAACTTCAGTGCAAAATGAAGGCCCTGGAAATCCCTCATTATGGTGTCCTCCATCTTGAACATGGTGAGAATATGTACATTCAGGGCTAATCAGTCTTTCTTTGCCAAGTTGTAGCAGATACTCCCTAAATGACTAGCATATCTATATAGAGAACTGAGAAGAGACTTCAAGATTTACAGTAACAAAGGATACAAAATGAAGGGCAGATTTTATTTTATTTTTAGGTTACCTATTGGCCATCTGCCAGTAGGCCCAAGTGAGGAGTCCTGGTTCGTACAAAAATGGCTTTTAAATTCCTAGCTGTTCCAGAAAAAAAGGCAAATCATTCTTTTAATGAGTAGCAGGTAAGGCCTCAAGATGTTGCCTGTTTCTCTCATTCTTTTTTTAAAAATTTTAATAAGCTTGTATTTTAAAGAGAGAAAAAAACCAATGAAAATGATACAGAATTTCAAAACAAGATGATAGGAAATTAACAGTGGCTGTTATATTGCATATTGTTGTCTTCAAAGTAGTTGCCCAGGGTACCAGACATAGGCATGCACAATTGATTGAACAATATAAGCGCTAACTGTCCCCTTCAATGAACTAATAGAAATTAGTAGTGCAATTATCTTAGCTATTGTGTACACATACATATGTTTTCCCTTCCTTCTTTTTTTTCCCCCCATCCCAGCTGTTCTTTCCTGTTTCCTTTTTCCTCATGGTGGTCTCCAATTATGTCATGAATGTGTCAGTTGTACCCAAAGAGGGATTTTGAGGAGACATTAAAATACACTTTCCAATTTACCGTAATAGTTTTATTTTGAATTTTGTATTTATCTATTTTTTTGTCTTTTTGAGATAGGGTCTCTCTATGCAGTTCAGGCTGGCCTTGAGCTCACTTTGTAGCCCAGGCTGACCTTGAACTCAGAACAATCCTCCCGCCTCAGCCTCCCAAATGCTGGGATTACAGGCGTGCGCCACCATGCCCAGCTAAGCGTTTTATTTCAAGGTAGCAATTTTAATGCAAGATTTTAACTCTCTTGCTTTGAAACTTCCACAGATATAATATAATTCAATAAATCAAAATAAGAGAAAGTTTCTATGAGCACCCTAATAGATAAATTACTATCTCCTGGTTAGACACCTTGGAGATGGTTTAGTATAGCTTGGGAATGAAGAGGGTATCAGCAGGTAGAGTCCACACAGATAAACATGCAGGACAGTAATGGTGGTACTGAGCAATATGATCTTTGAAAATGGGAACAGTGGAAGTAAGATGGGGCCAAATATTGCCAGCACACATACTCTTGCTTTATTGGAGTGAAGGGGGCAGACAACACTTTATTGGAGTAAGGAGGACAGCTTCAGCCGTACAAGGACGTAAGCCAAAGGGAGTTGGTATTAGTCAAGGGAGGGACCAAGCTGTTCACAGATCACAAAAAGCAACAAGCTTTTATGGATTTGCTGTGGTAGAAGAAAGCTAGCTGGAGACACCATTCCAAGAGACATGTCTCGTCACCGTGGTCATAGTGAACTTGTCACAGGGATGGGCAAGTTACTCTGGAAGCTGCTGGGCAAACTCTCTGGCTTTGTGGTTTGGTCTAGGCCTTGTGATAGGACTGAAGAACTTCAGGTTCTTAAGCTATTATAGCTGCTGAAGAGGCACAAGGGTTAGAGAAAAAAAAAAAAAAAAAAAGAGGAGAGAAAAGGAAAAGAAATCACACACTAGCTCCAGTAGGTAATAGGACAAATTCATTGTATATCATAGTCTTTTTTGAAATTTAAATTTATTGTTTATTGGTACATGTTCGCAGCACATATATAATGATTACATTCATCCTCGGGCATTGGTACATGACATGTCTAATTCCTTCTATTTCCCCCTCTCCTCCTTCCCCCTCCCCACTTGTCTAGATCTTCTTTCCATTTGCAAAAGATCTGTCTCCCTCTTTCCTATGATCTATCTTTTATGACGCTCTTTAGATTATTTATACTTCTGGGTTTTTCATAGAAAAGAAACTGTATGATATTTAAAATTGTACATCTGATTTATTTCACTTAACATTAAGGCCTCAAGGTATGTTATAGTCTTGGATGAAACGTTTTTAAGTGATCAATACAGCTACACACAGAGCTGAGTAGAATTTGTCACAAGATGTGATAGTTAACTGATTCATCAGTTTGATTCATCAGTTTGATAGTTAACTGATTCATCAGTAAGGCAGTAAATGCCCTACTAAACTGGATCAGCGGAGGTCTAGATGTGAAATTGTCACTGATATAACTGAATGAAGGATTTACTGAAGACACAAGCCAAACCGAGGACAGGCTTGTTACCTGAACGGAATAAAAGGAAACAAAGGAGGAAGGCTGGCTTCTGTTTCTTTGGAGGAGCTCCAGTCTTCACCATCAGCTTGGACCTTGTGTCCTGGCTTCCACTGCAGACCCTTCAGCCTCCTCATATGGACTTGCTTGCGTGGGACTCTCCAGCAGCTCCCGACATTCAACCTTCTCCTGGATCCTTCGTATCTCCAGCGGGCAGACAGCCCTTGTGCTCTTCCACACCTGCCTCAGTCATTATAAGCCTACCTTGTAAGTCCTTGTATTTATATACCTTGCCTCAAATTCATTTCGCTAGTGAGCACCGACTGATAGACAATGGTTAAGGCAGTAAATGAAGACAGAGATGTCAAACCTTTTATCGCACTGGTAGTCAGCAATGAGATTTCTGTAGGCTCAAGTGAAAAGTCAATGTTTTCAGCAGAAGTATCCTTCAGGTCCCTGAGAAATAATCTAGGCAACTGTCACCAAAACCTACAGGTCAGAGGTATTTTCTACACTAAAGTTAATGACAAACTAGTCATGCATTACCCAACTAAGTGGTCTTTACAATTAGTGATCTTTAAGTCTAGTAAGAGCAATGGAAGCTAGAGGGTTTATTTAAGTTTTTTTGGGTAACAATGTACTCATTCTGTTAAACATTTTGCGCCTGTGGTTCTATCATGGTGTCGTGACAGTTTGTTGAGAAAAGCACAATGGGAGAGCAGGAACGCGTCACGCTAGAAGTAGGGATGGTGTATGGTGTCCAGGGCTTTGTTTTGCTGTCCTCTCCTGCAGTCCCAGCCTGGTGGTCCCTTACTGTCTCTGTGGGAACGGTGACCCTCGTAGAGTTCTGTCCCAGGAGAGGACTGTGGACAGACAGCGTGGCTCAGCGCAAAGGTTCTGACAGTTGCATCAGCACCCTGCAGAGAAACACTTCTTCATCGCACCTTCGCCTTGGCGTCAGTTACTGTATTAGTCAGTGCAGTGCCTCTAATATAAAAACCACAGCAAACAGTCAATAGTTTCAGTAGCTTCATGACACCGGGGAGTTAGTGCCGGTTCCATTTTTCTCGTCCTGTTTGTCACCTCTCAACTACTACACCCACATTCCTTCTCCTGCGCCCCCACTTCATCTTCATGGGCAGACACGGAGCCTCAAGTCCTCCTCTTACTTTGAATTTCCATGACTCCCCCTGCTGTCCAGAGAAGATATTTGCATCTTTAAGGGACCGGGAAACTAAATCACATAATCTAACCTACACATGCCCACCCAGATAACCTTCCATGTGAATACAACCTGTGTCACACATCACAAGGGGCACGGTGTGGACACCATCACTTCATATCCACAAGGTCCAGAGAGTAGGGGGTACATCTGTACTGGACCATTTTAGAAATTCTGCTTCCCAAATAAGTTATAAAGAAAAGCAACTATTTCGATGTTATTATGAGGCATCCATAAAATAGTCAAAATAGACACAAGTTCTAGCACATAACGTATTCTTAGTCTTCTATAAATGATTACAACATTGCTATTATCTTATCATCCTTCCCCAGCTCACTTTTCTGAAATTCTGTGACCTAAATTTAAGATTTCAGTTTCTTTCATAGACTGATAGATACAGATCTTTCCTTGAAACATTCTTACCCAAGTTATTAGCATCTCTTTTCTTCATTTTTTTTAGTCTGGAGAATATGCCCACAGGGTGTTAAAAGGATACACTACACTCTCTTTTGCCCTCTCTCATAATACATCTGTCTACACTTTTTCATAAAGAAAAATGCTTCCTCATTCTAACAGAATTTTAATGGTACAACTGAACCACATCTTAGAAAGTTGTGATTTATTTAGGGGAAAAGACTTTTAATACAATAATTGGACACTTTGCTTTATTGCAAGAAACACTTGTTCTAGTACCAATATAAGTAAAGTGAACTGTAGTTTTCAACAGGTTCACTTGTATCAACTAGTTTGTAATTCACAAAAACCAAGAGAGACATTTTAAAATGTCCTCATTTTAAAATAACAAATCTGGGGCATTTGTTATTTTCAGAAATAACATTTCTGAAATTCTGTGACCTAAATTTAAGATTTTAGTTTCTTTCAAAGACTGATAGATACAGATCTCCTGTGAGTGGACTGATGGGAATGAGCTATTTTCATAAACTAGAAAGATGTAAGAATCACTAGAAGTAAAGATTTTTCACATAACTGCCTTTGAATGTTCAGTTAGCTAGCAACAATAACAGTGGTAATAAAAGAAATGCTACTAAATTAAGTATATAAGTTTATTTATTGATTTTAAGCTGTTACACTGCAACTAGTTGTATATGTCATTTTATATATATATATATATTAAATAAGGCTAATGACATAAGGAAGTTCTATAGCTTTACATAAGAGTACAACCTTCATATATGGGAGATTTCAAGTTTGCACATAAAAATACATCATAGTATGTTCCATTAACTCAAACATTCATATCCATATTGCAAGTATGCATCTTACTAGGTTTCAACTTCATTTATAGTTATAATAGAAAAAAAACAATATTCTACAAGCTACAGTCTGAAAATGATTTTTAAAACTCACCCAATTAATAACTGGTTAAGAGAAGAAAATTACAAAAAGCAAAATCTATGCTATTGGGTAATCTCTTTCCTTTAATGTCAATATTATACCTGATTTTATACTTTATCTAGTCAAAAAGATAAGAAAAAATTCAATATGTTTAGGTTCGTGGGGAGAAAAATAAGTAGTCTTTGTATCATCCTCAGGCACATAAACAAATCTACCACAAATGCGATTTTAAATTAGCCCTGTGAAATAGGATAAGCTTACTGGACCCTTAGCGGGTGGTGTGGTCTAATCTCAGGCTCCATCATTGCTCTCACTGAGTTTATCCACCAGCCTTACTATAGAATTGAAAAAAGTTATGACATGAGTTTCAAAAGTCATTTGTGTCACATCTGAGATAAGTGCTGTTCATGCTATTGAACATTGTCTGAAAAAGCTTCAAGAGAAGCAGAACGTCTGAAGATTTAAGGTTCCTCCTGGGGGAGGAGTTTCCACATCATAGAGGGATCCAGTTCCTCCTTAAAATCATCCAGCTCCTGCTCCTTGGAGAGCTCCAGGAAAACCTGTATTGGGAGAAAATACATGGAAGGAGAGGGATGCCAGGCTGCCTTCTATAGCTCCTACCACATGCAAAAGGCAGCCCGTGTAGGTACTTGTATTTCATGGGGGATAGAAGACCACTGAAAAGGACCCACCTGCTCCAGGGTGGACTGTGAGAGGCTGTACTCCTCCAGGTCAAAGCTCTGTTTAACTGCAGAAGGATGAGTACACATTACACACACAAACACGCACACACATAATTTTACTTGGTGATAGTCAAAAACAACCTTAAATATAAAATACAAGGTAGCAAATATTTCTGTACTAAATATGGAAATGCAAATACACTATCAATATTTCAACAGGGTGGAAATACCGTTCCATTTCCTTAGAGTTTTGATGGAACCACCAGAAGGCTGGAAAACCCTATTAGAAGCTCCAGAACTTTCAAGGAGGTGTAGCTAACGGATGACTTCCCCTGAGCTGGAAAACCACTGTGTCTCTATTCCTGCCCTCCTTCTCCTCCACAGGCTTCCCTCAGAGATGTCTTCTAGTGGATTCTACCAATGGGAAGGCTGGCAGGAGGGACAAGGGACAATGGAGCGCCTGGTATCCTTTCACCTCCTCCCTGATGCCAAATGTATCCCTTCACAGAAGGTCACTATTTGTGCCAAATTCTGCATGAGTCCATTGCCATTCCCATCAGTGCTTCTGTGCTTTGTGTCTTCAAACCTAAGGTGATGAGTCTTGCCATTTCTAGCCTTGGGACACTGCCCTGTTACTGCACTCAGACGCAGGACCCCCTGTCATCACATGACAACTCTGATAATCAACCTTTGTTCCTCGTTTTCTCTTCTCCATTCCCCTTTCATTCCACTCTGAAGAGGCCCAGAGCACAAGCTTATCAACTCCGAGGGGACAAGGATAAAAAGAGAGACACAACTGACCACCTCATCTTTCCAGCTGCAGATCTTCAAAGAGGAGGTAAGTGACACCTGGGAGAGGCGTGTGACACTCAAGTTCTGCTGGAGATTGCGTTACTCACATGTGATCTGATGTGGAAGAAGGATCTATGCACCCAGAAAAGGAAGTGTCACAGGATGTGGTTTTGCTTCCACAGCATGGAGCCTAGTTCATTCTACCAATGTGCATATTGCTACTGAGAATGTAACGATGGCTAATAACAGCTTGAGAAAAAAAATTCTAGCTCATGTTTCTGCATTTTGTACATTGGGCCATATTCATATAACAGGGTGGGGAGTTATAATTAAAAGTTTTTTTCCCTCAAATTCAAACATCAGTTTTAGTAAATTAAGCAGGCCGGCAATTTTTTTTTTTTTTTCAGACCAGCAGTTTGGAATAGGAGAGAACATTTGTGAAAACAGAAGTATAAGAAGCCTTTTGAGGAAAAGCTCAATTATATTCGAGGGAGCAGTCTCTCTCAGTCTCTTTGCTACTATTTCATACAAAATACAAGGGAAACCAATGTGGAAATCCTTCCCACTGGAATGATGCAAATCAGCCATGAAGGGAAAACGACTGATGTGGAAAACCAAGCCTTCCAGGAGAAGCCTCTCCTTAGGAACTGGGAAGCCTGAGGTCTCTACAGTTTTGTAGACAGCTGTGAAGTCAGAAAGCACAGCTGAAGAAGAGCCCTGGTGGAAGTGCATAACTCATTAGGGTTTGTGCACCTGACAGGCCAAAACTAAGCTGAGTGAGATGAGAGCATTATGTGAAGACCAAATACAAACGCCTAAAAAGAGCCGCAGATTAGCTCACACCAGTAGAGAGGAACCATCTCCTCAGTATCAAATGCTACCCAAGAATATCTCAAAACTGAAACAAATTTGTGGGTTTCTGTTGTACAAATTTGTGGACGCTCCAGCTCTGAATGTCAATGGTCTCTTGCGTCCAGAACCTTGTTCAGACTGGGCAAAGTCTTCCAACCTCAGCTCCAATGACAACGTGGTCACACCACTCTTTCCTGTGGGGACCGACCTGTGCCTTGTAGGTTGTCTGACGTCATCCCTGGTCTCTATCCACTTGATGTCTGCTGCGTCCTGTCTCCCTCCCTTTAGCAGTGAACGACTAAGGATCCCCACACTTTGTGAAATCACTCCCTTTTTGAGACCACTGCAGGGAAGTCTTAGGAATTTATTTGCAGTAAATAAAAAATCACAATTCTATGTTTATGTATTTTTTAATGCCGGTTTTGGGCTCTTTTTAATCTCTAAACAATCACTGATCTCTAGACAACCACTTACCTGTCTCTAATTTGGAGAAAGTCTGTGATAAAGGCTGTACATCTTCAATAGGTAGCTTATAGACCATCAGGGAGGAATACCTGCAACGTGAATAATGAGACTGAGCTCCAGACTTCAAGGGCACCACCCTCTGCAGCTGTATATCTTAAAAGGAAAATAAATAATCTCTTTTTTAAAGTCAAAAAGTTATTTATTAATAGGCTAAATCCAGTTACCAATCTCTCTCTTGTACAAATTCCAGTCAGATTTTTGCAGTGAATATTTAATTATTATGCATATCTAGGAAATTCTGCTCTAGTTTTCCTTCTTTAAAAAGTTTACTTGATTTAGAGGCTAAAATGTTCTTCATGCCTTTTATCTGTTCATCACCTACTTCAAGAAGAGTTTACAGAGTAACAGTGAAATAAATCGGACTTGCATGGGTAAACTTGTAGTGAAAGAGTCAATAAAGTCCAAAAGGTGCAACAGATATTGTGGAAGGAAAAGAAACTGCTCAAAATGAAAGAACAACTGGGATGAGGAAAAGGAAAAAAGAAAGAAGGAAGGAAGGGGAAAAAAAATATATATATATATATATACAAGATAGCTAAGATAATTGTACTACTAATTTCTGTTGGTTCATTGAATGGAACAGTTAATGCTTAGGGTTTTTGACCAATTTTGCATGCTTATATCTGGCGATCTGAACAACTTTGAAGACAACAATATGCGATATAACAACTATTATTGAATTCCTATCATCTTTCTTTTTGAAATCCTGTATTGTTCTTAATTTTTTATTATTTTTATTCTCTTTAAAATAAAAAAGAATAAACTAATCTACATCTTAATCTTTTTAATGGAAAAAATAAAACAAATTTCAAGAGAAAATAGGAAAATAACAATAATTAATGCATTATATATTGTAATCTTTAAGGGAGTTACCCAGAGTACAAGAAATGGGCACAAAAATTCTCCAAATGATATTTACACAAACCTTTCTTTTCAAGGAACTAAGAAAAACTAGTAACATAACTATCTTGTCCTTTTCACATTTCCTTTCCTTTCTTCTTTCTCCCATCCTACTTCCTCTTTCCTTTTGAACAATTTCTTCCCATTTCACAAAACCTATGGCATTTTTTTTTTTTTTTGCTGTACCAGGGATTGAACTCATGACCTCGCACTTGCCAGGCAGGAACTTATGCCACTGTGCTATTTACCCAGCCCCTACTGTATGTTTTGGACTTTATTCACTTGTTCAGTTTCTCACATGAGGGAGATAATATGATCTTTACACTTGTGAGTCTGATTTATTTCACTTATGAGTATGGTCGAAAATCGCATCCATTTTCCTATAAAAGTCTCAACTTCATCCTTCTTTATGGCTGAATAGTACTCCATTATATAAAAAGACCACATCTTTTTTATTCATTCCTCATTTGATGGGCATCTGGGTTATTTCCAAGATTTAGCTATTATAAATTGTGCTGCTATAAACATGGGTGCACATATATCACTGTGATATGATGTTTTTAATTCTTTTGGGAAGATACCCAGAAGGGGAGTAGTTGGGTTGAATGGCACCTCTCATCCTAGTTTTCCAAGGAATCTCCACACTTATTTTCACAATGACTGCACCAGTCTACACTCCCACCAACAGTGGAGAAGGGTTCTTTTTTCCCCACAACCCCTCTAGCATTTGTTATTGGTTGATTTCTTGATGATAGCCATTCTTTCTGAGGTGGAATAGAATCTCAGTATTGTTTTAATTTGCATCTCACGAATGACCAGTGATGTTGAACATTTTTTTATATATTTATTTCTTGTTTGTATTTCTTCATCTAAGAAGTGTGTAATTATCTCAGGTGCCACTTTTGAATTGGGTCTTTGAATTTGGGAGTCTGATTTTTTTCAATTCTTTATATGTTCTAGATACAAGTTCTTTGAGGAACAATAGGCTAAAATCTTTTCTCATTCTGTAGTCTGTTTTTTCACTCTGTTGGTGATTTCTTTTTTGGGCAAAAGCTTTTTAATAAGATGAAATTCCAGTTGTTGATTCTTTGTAGTATTTCCCACGTGAAGTCTCTTTCTACACCTATATCTTCAAGATATCTACCTATTTCTCTTCCAGTATCTTGACAACAATTGGTTTAAATATACACATGCATGTGGTCCTGAAGACAACCATAGCGGTATAAATGTGCTTTGACCCACTGGAGGTCAATCTACTAAGAGGAGGATTGGGAGACAGGGGAAGAAATCAACAGCAGTGCGGTTTAAGGAGGGAGCAAACAAGATTACTTTTCCATGGTCTTAACATGAAGAAAAGAGCATTTAAGTAAAAATTGCTTAACCCTACCTGAACCTCAGATGCTGTTACCGATGATGACAAAAATTCTAAGAGACACTGTGGTATGTACGGGCTCTACACAGGGAATCTCCATTCATGTGGATGGTTTTACCATTTAGAAAGGGCCACTGAGATGATGTAACACATGCACACACTAGGACCCAGACCATTACTGAGTTCCCAGGAACGCTTCTTCCCTTACAAGACAATGCTCAGTCTCCAAGGCAGCACTTTGCTATCACATTCTTCTCCTGTTGTAGCCTTTGGAATGAGACCTATCTCTAGTTACTACACTACTGAAAGTTAAAACACAAAAACAACCAAAATAAGGAATGAGAGGAAAAAGTTTTCATTCCTCATCACTATAACTGAAAATCAACCAAAGACCAAGTAAAGTAACATGTGTGTTTACCTTTCCTGCCGAGCAGCACAGGGGAAAAGCCTGAGGATCTCCTCGTGGAGAGGCTCCACCTGTGTGAGGGTCTTCACCTTCATCTCCAGCAGGTAGTCTTTGCCAAATTTGCTCTTTAGGTGTTGGATTGATCCAATACACCTGGCGGTCAGAAGTGCAAGTCAAACAAGGTAAGGGAAGATATTCTGGCCAGTGCTATCCAGTCTCTGGAGGCCAAGGCTGCAGGCCCCTAGAACCAGAAGTCGCCCCTCCAGCTTCTCCCAGAAGAGATGTCCTGTGACCCATGGGCCCAGTGTCAGTCTGAAGAGAACTCACCTCAGCCTTCCGGACACCATGATGGCTACACGATCACAAACAGCCTCAGCCTCTGCCATGTAATGGGTTGTCAGGAGGGCACCCCTCTCCGTGTGTCTAAAGGTGGCCCGGATTGCCTGCCTAGAATTAGGTCGAGGGAAAATAAATAAAAGTACTGTCCAAGGCAGTGCGGAAAGTTTAAAAAAGAAGTTTCCCTTGTCACACATATGGAACAATTAGTGAATTCAGAATAGACCCCAACCAGAATTATGGGAGGGATAATAAAAAGGGAATTCAACACATTATTGGTTATAATTTGACAAGTTTGGGTTGAACATACCATATGTATTGAGTAAAATCTATTTAGCATTTTTACGAGTTTAAGAGCATTTATCAGAAGGCAGGAAGAAGACAGAAGGTGGAACTAAGTAAGATGTATGATGATCACAACATATACAATAAAGGTACAGAATGGCAGAAATCTCCTAAAATAATTAAAGACTATATTGAGAATTTGGAATGTCTCTTTTATTCTCCATAAGAATTGTATGTTAGGTAATGTTGCAGAAAGAGTTAACATTTAGTAATTGATTGATTTTACTATGCCCCATTCATACCCAGAAGACTTATGAAGAAAAGAAAATTCTTAGCATGGATATTTAGTTGAAAGAGTATATCTTTTTCTCCTCAATAAACACTGGTGGTAGGGCTATTTTCCCTTAGTGCTACTTTTCCTAATAGTGGATGAATGGCTTATCCTTCTTCAGTAAACAATGACTTTGAGGGCATTTATTATAGGAGCCATTAGTCCACATAGGGGCTACATGTGTATTTCCTCACCAAATCTGTTGCTGGCCCTCAGGGTCCATCCCAGTGGATGGCTCATCCAGAAGTACCACTGATGGATTTCCCAGGATGCTCAGCACAAAGCACAGCTGGAACAAGAGAGACAGGCTGTCAGCACCAGGCTGCGGGCGCACAGAGCCACACCAGGCCCTCACATACTTTTCTCTTTATTCCCTCTGACAAAGTCTTCACGGGTGTCTTCAGATGATCCTGCAGCATGAAGGCTTCCACCAACCTGAAGGAAACAGAATGAGTCAGACCTCATCACCCAGGAACGATGGGGATTGGATGTAAGAGAACAAGCAAATTAAGAGTACAGTGGAGAAAAGTTAAGAGTCACTGGAGGGGTCAAAACTGTGAAACCACTGAGAATATGTAATGGTTTAGATGTAGTTTGCCCCCTAAAGGGTCATGCACTGGGAGATTGATAACGTGGTGACATCAGGAGATGGTGTGGACCTTTAAAAAGCCTATTAGAAGGTGCTGAGTTTGTCTAGGTCACTGGGGGTGTGCCTTGAGAGGGGATGTGGGATCCCCATCCATCTGGTTTCCTGTCTGATCATGTGATTTTTTTCCCACTCACACAAACTCCTGCTACGATGTCATCATGACTGGGTCCTCATCAGAGGCTGAGACAATGAGGCTGCCCAATCTTGGGCTTTCCCCTTCCAGACCATGGGGAAAACTTCTCTTCTTCGAGTGTAATTAGCCTTAGATATTTCACTATAGTAACACAAAACTGACTATTACAGATACTTTCTGAATCTTTATTGGAGGTCATGCTCCTATTTTCAACAGCTTCTTCTCATATTAAGAATAATCTGTAAACATTTTTCCCTCCAGGCTTAGAGTTAGAGAAAATGATATTGTTTTTTTTTTTCCTGGTACCAGGAATCAAACTCACTACCTTGCGCTTGCCCGGCAGGCACTGTGCTGCTAGGCTAAATCCCCAGCCCCGAGAAAATGATATTGGACTCACTACTAGATAGCCAAGACTTTTCCCATAAGCAAGGGATGATTTATTAGATACTTGTTTCTTTAATTTTGTGTTCTTGAATTTTGTTTGAAATATCATTAACATCACACCTCCCCAAGACAGAATGGAATGCATGCTTCGCTCACAGACCCCGTGATGGTGACTGTGGCGTCCCTTTTCTTCAGCCCCTTCACAGCAGCATATACTTCCAGGTGTTGCTTCACAGTCAGACTGGGCCACAGCACATTCTCCTGAGGACAGTACCCCAGGAACCCCAAGGTGTCCTCTTCACTGCTCCTTTTCAAAATCACCTAGACAAAAGAAGTTCATTCTCCAGTTCTGTTCAGAATTGTGAGTATGTACTTCCGGGAGTTCCCTTCTTGTACATACACAGGTGCTAAGAGTATACAGGTAAATACGTAGAAAAGTTAAAAAGTTACTAAATATAGCTCTGAAAAAATGGCAAACTACTCAGCAATTTAAAAGCCAGTTTTCCATATTGTTATATTCTCCTTTAGACTTAACTACCTACCAGTTTCCTTACTAAGGCTGAATTCAAGGTTGCTTATTTGGTTGTTCATCACTTGACTTTATTCACCGATCCCAAAATTCAAAAGAATAGATACTTGTTAAGGATTCTGTTTCCCTAATCATAAATAGCTGTAATTATAGCATTTGAAGCACAGGGGCAATCTTCCTCCCAGGGTACATTTAGCAGTGTCTGTAGATATATTTGGCTGTCATAATTTGTATGTATATCTGTGGTGGGATGGGTGCTACGGGCATCTAGTGGGTGGAGGTCAGGAACGCTGCTCAACATCCTATTACACACACAGATTACCCAGCCCAAAGGTCATTAATTTCAAGGTTGAAAAATTCTGAGCTAAATAATACATGAAAAATCTTTAATGCTGTGGTACCAAGAAACTCAGTTCATTCATGACAGCCTTTGTCATTTTTATGAGCCAGGCCCTATGCTAGCCAATAACTTGAATAGCTAATGTCTCCCTGGTGCTTGCCATATGCCAGAATCTGAGCATTTTATATATTTTGAATTATGTTGTCTTCATAGAAACACCATATGTGTTCTGTAATAACTTTATTATTCCTGGTTTACCTATGAGAAAACTCACACATGTGTGGATTAAGAAATTTTAAGAAGATTAGATGGTAACATGCCCTAACCTCCATGCTATAAGTTAAGGATGTGGGTCCTGAAGGTCAATACTAGTCTCAGTGACCACCTTGTTTTATTCCCTAAGAGCAAAACAGGAGAAAACAAGTTAACTTTGCCTCCTAGAACTTTCATTCTAGGGAGAGAAACAGAAAATTAACAAGTAAGTACATAAGTGGACTAATTCAAGCCTCTTCTTAATCCTTTCAAGGAAGCAAATGCGCCTTACAATAATACGGAGGATTTAATGTAGTAAACAGTGCAAGCAGAAAGGGTCTTTTGGGGAGGTAGACGTTCCAGTGATGAGGAGATAACCAAGCAGGTAAAGAGCTGAGCGCAGGGCACATGCGTAGATCAAACACAAAGATACTGCAGGCAGAAAGGGATTGAAGCCCACTCTGGCAAGAGGTAGAGGATGTGAAAGGCTGTCAGCAGACCCCATGCTATGCCAAGGCTTTTGAGGCCATGGTAAAAATTTTGGATTAATTTTAAGTCACAGGTTATAATCTGGAGAGTGGCAGGACATGTTTGAAGGTCTGCTCTAACTGCTATGTGAGGCAAAAATGGAAATGGACAGGCAATTTGGAAAATGCTTGTAGCAGTCATGACCACCTTGCAGCTTCCCTTCTCAACAGCCCCTCTGACTTTAACCCTGGGCCAATTGTCAATAGCATTCTCCCTGCAAAGCTGGAGTCCTTTGGTCTCCAACCCTCCTTTTACCCACATTGATCTAGAAAAGTGAAATTCATATGTTACTCCATTTTTTGCTTTGGATTTTTGACAATTATTCATGTTTTTCTTACTTATGTCTGTGATAAGAGACATGGGCCTTTTAGCCCCAGCCCAGCATTATTATTATGGTTCAAAAGCTTCAGTAGACTTACAGTAATATCTTCTACTGCCATTTTTTTCCCCTCTTACTGGTCACATCCTTTTATCCAATGGGCCAGACTATGCCCCCACAATTACAAGAAAGTTTCTGGTGCAAACGCACTTTGCCAAGACTTACGCCATTCTATTTTCTAATGAACTGATTATTACAAAAATGTCACACAGAATCTTTAATATAGCATATAAGCAGAAAAGTTGTTAAATATGAAGATTCATTCCTCTAGCCACATGAGCAGGCCTTATTTTCACAGTGGATAATTCAATTTAAAAAGGCCTTGGGATAGATAATTCCACAAAACAAAGACTTCTGATCTCAGAGATATATATTTCCCTTTAATAGCTCTACCTTTTTCACCCAGTATAAAAAATAATGGCCTTTCTCAGCCATCAACTATTTTTGGAATTAAGGAGAAAAATTTTTAATCAATCCTCTTCATTCACTGCATAAGTCACACAAACTGCTTAAGGACTAGCCAAATGTTTTTGTGGTTGTCATCAATATTCACTGTAAAATGTTCATTTGAGGAAGCATTAATGACTGTATTTCTGTGTTTTACTGACCTGCCCTGCATTTGGTTTTATGTCTCCAGTTATCATTTTAATCATTGTACTTTTCCCAGCTCCATTGTGTCCCAACAGTCCTACAACTTCACCTGAAAGAAACAGAAATGCTCAGAAACGCACAGATAATTATATCAAAAATAAAAGCAAGGCAAGCATGGTGCCACACGCCAGTAACACCAGCACTCTGGGAGGCTGAGGCGGAAGGACTGCAAGTTTGAGCCCACCCCTGGTACCATAGTGACTTACCACGACCCTGTCTCAAAATACAAAATTAAAAAATGGCTGGAGATATAGCTCTTTTTGAAGGCCCTGTGTTCAATCTCCAATAACACAATCAATCAATCAATCAATCAATAGCAAATACTATTTGTGGACTCTCTAAGTGTGGAGCACTATGTGAAATGCACTATGCACTTTATTTCACTTATTCTCCCCCTACACACACATACACACACACACACACACACACACCTACTGCTTATTATATGGTTCATATTTTCTTTCTCAGATGAGGAAACTGAGGCTTAAAGAGCATAAATAACTTGCCTAAGGTTATACTGCCTATAAGAGACTGAGCTAAAGTTTGAAACAAATTTGATTCCAAAGCTTGTTGTGCTTAACCAGGACTGTAACACTTGACATTTTTAGGAATGATGAATGTATTACCATGCCTCCATCACTTCCTTTAGGTCATGAAGTTACATTGCTTTCAAATCTACACAAGGCTGGTGTGTAGCTCCGTGGTACAGCATTTATTTAACATGTGTGAGGTTCTGAGTTCAATCCCCAGCACCACAAAAATGTAAAAACTATTATAGACTTGAAAAAAGCAAGTAAAACCTATATCATTGTTTTTAACAGAAAAATTGCCCTTTTGTTGTTATTCTTCTGCTTGTTTGTTTTAACAGAACAGACAGTATCTTCTTGTGTAAAGAAAAACTGTAAGTAGAGCTGTGGTTTGTAAGCAGGAAGGAACAACTATAGTGTGATGATGAGTTGGCTTCCTTTCCCATTCATCATTAGATAACTCTAGATTTGGATACTGTTCTTGTCTTTTCAAGAGCCAATCTTTAGAGATGAAGATCATTCTAGTAGCAGAACTGTCGTTTCCAACCTTTTTTAACACAGAAAGACACGTTTCTTGTGGCAATTTTTTTCTTCCTTCTGGAAAAGCAATTTTTCTTTTTGCCTGCATATTCCTTCCGCAGACAGCTGGCAGTGATAACTGGTTTCTGAAAAGACAAGCCAGAAGCAATGGGGCATTATTCTCTCTTTGCATTAAGAATACTCCGTTCTTGCCAGCAACCATGCCCCTATACAAGATCAGGAAGCAAACCTACCCTTCCCCTAGAAACTGCCATTGTCAAATAAATTCTTTCAAGCTTATATTACTGTAGGAAAGGGGCATGTATGCACCATATCATGCGATTTGTGCTTGCTGTTCTTCAGAGAGGAATAAAAGCATCCACTAAATCCACAGATTTAAAACACGTACTCTCATGCACGCATATGCTATAAACAAACGTACAACTCAGGTGAGCTGTCTCTTCCTAATTCCTTACAGTAAGCCTCATGTGGGTTATAAAACTCACAAAACCTTACCTAAGTTTTTATAGCATTTAGCTGCACTTGTTAAAACTATGACTTTGAAAAATTAATGAACACATTAATCTCTCTGTGTGTATTTGTTTCCCTTGCTTTCTTAGTTCTGTGGTCATACCTACTGAAGTCAAATAACAAATTACATGAGCAAGGATGAAAGAACCTCCAGTGCTTTTCAAAAAGTAGAATGAGTTGCTCACTTCATCTGGCAGGCAAAATGATGTGATGAAGAATATTTCTGTAGTTCTTACCTCTTCCTCGTCCAGGGCAGTCACGGCGTTTATTGCTCTGATTCTTTCCATTCGGACATCCTCATCTTCTCCTTCAGGTTCTTCTGGATTTGGAAAAACGTCACTGCTTCTTGGAGTCATTCTAAAATCAAAATGGCATGAGGGTGCCATGTTTTTCCAGTTGAAAACTGAGCAAAAGTAATGAATTCTCTGTTACTGCAATCAGTTATTTGACCAGTTTAACGAGGAGCACAGCAGAATTTTCACTCTTAAACTCTCTGTCATTCACCTTAAAAACAGCCTACTTGCTATCAAAGAATCAAGGGATGCTACTCATATCACTTTTGACTTTTACCTAAATTTAATTGTGCTTGGTGCTGTTGACTGCCTTTTTTCCAAATGATAAATTAGTACACCCTCTCTGACAAGAGCATTTTGAGGCAGTTTCATGAGAAGGGTGGGTCACAACACTCAGAGTCAGGAATGGTCCCAGAAAACTTAGGACATCTGATCACCATTCCAATGTCTACTCAGTTAGGAGCAAGAGCACCTCTTGGGAATTTGTGTCAGGATCACTCTTCTCTCACTAATTCTTTTTTTCATCATCCCCTCATTGAGTTCTGCTAATTCTTACATCTCTCCCTTTAGTCAACACAAGTAAATGTAGTCATTTGGTTTTCTAAAACACAGCCCTTTACCATCAAATTAGCTTTGAACCTGATACTCATTTTGGGTGGTAGCCTAGGTGTTCAAGACATACTTTGTCTTGACTTTGTATTATGTAACTTATAAAACCTTCTTACGCTTTCCTATTTCAAGACCCTTGAGTATCTAGCTTCAATTTCATTTTTATTATCCTATAACACATGCCTTCATTTCAACTGCCTCCTCTCACCAACAGGAAGAAGACATGTACCGCAACCTTTGTCTTACTGCTCACACTCTATTTCTCTGTGTGTGTGTGTTTATGTTTCCCTTGCTCTCTTAGCTCTGCGGGCACTGCATACCTACTGAAGTATGGCTATACTTCATTACTGCTTGTCTGCACTTGCACATTCTTTCAAAGATTCTACTCCTTGCATGTAACTTTCCTCACTGTAAAATCACAGTCTGCCTTAATTTTTCAGTCTCTTACCTGTGCTAATGTTCTCTCTCACTAGATTATTGTATACACAATTTCTAAAATTCATCGTTACTGAACTTACAAAGTCTCCTAAAATAATCTTGAGCAGTCAGTGCTTTTAACAATTAAGTTAGACACATTAAAATATCTTTAAAGAATGACTATTCAAATAAATCATGAATTTCTATTGTTTTTTATGAACCTGAATACAGGGTCCTTTCGCAACAATTTCTTCCTGAAGTTTCCTTCCAGACATCGCAGAACAAGAACAAAAATGAAAAACTGGAAGTAAGGCTAGGGGAAAAAAATGGCAATCAAAATTAACATCATCATCAAAACAATTATTTCAATACTGGAAATGGTATAGGAGCTGGATTATTTGCTATAACTGCGATGATATATAAAATTGTAACAGGAAATGCCCCCTCCTCCCACCACAGCCAGTACAATTCAGTTTCTTAGCTGCCCAGGTAATAGCTCCTGTTGCAGTTCTGGTTGCTTCTGTCTCCTAGCAACGGCTGATCACTGTGATGCATATTGCAAGAACCAATCAAAGACAGCCAAACACTCTACTTCTATACTTCCCTTTTGCAATCCCATAAAAGCCTCCCTCCCTGAGTTTTGGGGCCTGATATTTTGGGAATGATCCTAACAGTGCCCATTGATCAACATAAAATAAATCTGCTTCCAAATCCTGGGTGTCATTTCAGTCTTTTTGCTTGCTATTGCAAAATTAAACTGCACAACATTTCTCAAGGCAGAAAGCAATCCATTTAACAGTCTATGAAACTCTCAAAGCTACTCTCTATGCTATTTAGAGAAAACATAAAGATAGAAGTACTGAGTTATACCACTACTACTCACGCTATTTAGAACTGGTGCTTCACTCTTGGCACTCCACAACTATTGTAATGATAGTGGTTTAGATCTTGATATTTTCTCAAAAAAATTAAAAGCATCATAGCACAGCAATACATGTGCACCCGTGTTTGTAGTGACACAGTTTTTCATAGCTAAATCTTGGAAACAACCCAAAAATGTCCATCGACCAATGAATGGGTAAAGAAGATGTGTGTTTTTTATATAATAGAGTACTACTCTGCCATAAAGAAGGATACACTTGAGCCATTTATTGCTAAATGGATGTCTAATAAATTGGACACACATGTGTAAATATTGCATTGTCTTACTGGTGTGAGAAACTGAAAGTGTAAATAAAAACCAAATTGTATAAGACAGATGATAAAATGGGAAGAAGTTAAAGAAAGGGAAACCAGGGAGGGGAAGGGGGAAAGGAAGGAAGGGAAATGAAAAAAGACAAGAGAAGGATAAAATGGAAACAAAGCTTTCTAAATAAGGAGGAGAGATGCAACTAGAGACCATGCTCATAAGTGAAATAAATCAGACCCACATGTGTGAACACTGTATTGTCTCCAAGTGTAAGAACCTGAAAGGGTAAATAAAATTTGAAAGGCACAATAGATATTGTGAAAAGAGAAGAAACTGCTCCAAGGGAAGGAACAACTGGGATGAGGGAAAAGAGAAAAGAAAGAAAGAAGGAAGGGAAAAATATACATGTATATACACAGGATAGCTGGGATAATTGTACTGCTGATTTCTACTGGTCTATTGAAAGGACCAGTTAGTGCTAAAAGTTTTTTCTTCTTTTGAATTTTTTGACCAATTTTGAATGCTTATATTTGGTAATCTGAACAACCAATTTAAGAGAACAATATTCAATATAACAACCATTGTTGAATTCCTATCATCTTGTTTAATGAAATTGTGTATCATTTCTTTTGATTACTTTTATTCTCTTTAAAATAAAAAATATATAAAAAGTAAGAAGGAGAAGAGGGGGTGAAGGGAAGGGAAGGGAATAGGAGGGGAAAGAAAACAAATCAAGGTAAATTATGTACAGGTACAAGTTCCCTGTGATGAATATGATCATTGTATGTACCTAAGTTCCACCAATAAAATTAATTAAATTTTTAGCAAGTCATTTTGTGTGTGTGCTTTCCTTCATATGCTAGAAATGTCATTTTTAACTTGGTGCAATTCAAAGAAACTCAAACCATGCAAAGGCTGTATCCCCTCATGAATAACGTTGAAAAGGAAATGTCTTCTTACTATTAGCAATGCCAGAAATACTATTTGAGATTCTGAAGCTCCTACGTAATCCACGAAGTCATAAGAAATCTGTAAAACAAAAAGAAAGCTATTTATACCAACCTTCCCTTTAAATGGCCTTGCCACTATTTTACCATTCATCAGGCAAAGTCAGTTTCTGTGTAGCATGTCTTCCTTTCTGCCAAGACATCTCAGTCAACTTGTCTATATGCTGAGGTGCTATTATGTGTAATACTGTAAGTTGGCAGAATTCTGGGTAATGCCTATGAGACCCATTGAAGCCATGGCCAATGCTGTTTTAAGACAAACCTTCTCCTTCAACTTCTGTCTTTCTCTTCCTCTTTGTGCTCCTTTTCTGTATTTTCCTCTCAAAAATCTTGTAATCATTTTTGTTCTCCTACATCTGCTTTTGAGTATAATCACAACAATCCTTCAGACCAAATCCATCACCAAGAGTTTCATGTACACATCTAAGTGTATCTTTCCAACAGCTCCCATGAAAGGATATTTTACTTCATTACAAATGAAGGGTAAAGGACTCAATTTTGTTTATTGAGTTCTATTCACCAAGACTTTTTCTGAGAAAATTTAGACCCCTGTCAATTAATTGGTAAGTATTACGGCCATTCATCTGGAAAAGACTTTGTTTTTCATATTGGTGGTTTTTTAATGACTCTAACAGCATTTCAATTCACTTTGTTCTCCTGCCTCAGATGACCACTTCCAATAATGGTACGCCATTCCAAAATGAGCTTAGCTCTCCCTGATTTCTGCCCTCTCTGCCATCAAATTTTATTCTCCCAGCTTTTTGAGATTCTAGTATCTTTATTCCATAATTTGGAGTTGGTGAAACTCCAACCCACCAATCTTTTCCCACTGTCTACCAACCCCTTCATGTCCTTAAGTTATATCTTTCCTAGTTTGGAATCCATGGTCTATTATTCAAGCCTTCTTTATACAGAACTACACCCCCCTATCCTTTTCTTTGTCAGACTCACCTGGCAACTATTCATCCCAGTTGAACCCAATTCTCTATTTGCTATAATGTGTCTGTAAGGCAGATTATGAGATGAACTCCCCACTTTGTTGACTTTTCTTGAAAAGTAGGGTAGTCTGTCTTTCAGTAGGTCAGTCCTAGTGACCCCACTCCCTGAAATAATTTTTTGTATCTTTTTTTCTGTTGTCAAAATCCCAATCCCCTCTTGACTACCTCACCCTCAGCTGATGACTTCATTTCCTGAATAAAGACATATCATTCTCTTCTTTCCACCAGCAAAGCCACTAAGCCACTTACCTCTGTATTTACATACTCTAACAATGACCTTGTTAAATGGATGGAGCATTTATGGTTTTAGGAGAGCAACCCTTTCACTTGTGTACTTCATTGTATATCCAACTGTCTCCTTAGTATTTTTCTTCAAGTGTCTGTGAGAGGCCTTAAACCTAACATATCTAAAACTTAGCAGAAAACGCACCTCTCAGTAGGGTTCCCAGAGTGAGAGTTTTCATGAGATCTATAAAATACCCTATGCTTGGAGTTGCCTTTGACCTTCATGAACCAAAGTCAGGCTTCCTACTAAAAAAGAACTTGCCCCTCATGTATGGCAAAACAACTGACTTTCTGAAGACAAAGAAATTTTGTCTTCTCAAACTTTGTATGGCTAAGGACTCTGCTCAAATTTTTGCAATATCTAAGGCTTTCTCTTCTAGCCATATATTTTATGATGTGAGGACAGGACTGGAATTACTTACCTCCGAAAAAATGGTTAGAGAACCAATCAGTGTGAAGGGTGGTATTAATATGGTGCAGAAAAGTAACCCCAGAAATGTGTATTCACTTATATCAGTAGCAAGTATTGTGAAGATGGTGACCTAAAATAAAAACACAGGATAGAGTCATGAAAGTATGACAGGACCATAATTTTAAATGAAATGAATCAGACACACAAGTTTAACTATTAGATTATTTCTCTTAGGTGAGCAATGCAAATTGTAAATAAAGAGCAAAATGGAGAATAGCTATTAGGAAGTAGGAAGAACTTGTGCAAGTGGGAAGGAGAAAGATGGGTGTGGTGACATGTGGAGAAGGACATTCTTTGATTAGAAAGCACTGAGAACACACAATGATTTGTGTATTGTTGCAAAAATGAACTGAAACTTTTCACCTGAAGATAAGAATATATTTGAACTGCAGGAGATCCCTATGCTTCAGCCTTGCCATGCACTGTAAAAATTAATGTGAAGTAAGGACTGTGATTGTAGTGGATTGATAACTGCCGGTCAACTTGTAACCCCCAGCTGAACTGAGTAAGCCTGGTGCTGGGTGTGGGAGGCCCACCTGGGCATTGTTGCCAGCGCCACAAGAGGCAGAACTGGAGAAGGATAGTAATGCCTTAATTACTAAAAGTTTTGGTATCTGCCCATTTGTACTAGCTACGCCCTTGGTTCTTTATCAATATAAGGTGATTGAGATTGATAATCGGGGTTGCAGTCCAAGAGGCTGTAAGCCCCCTGATCCCAGACTTTTGCCTCTCTTGTTCTTCTTGTCTGTCTTTCTTTTCCTTTTCATTCGTGGCACCTCGTTCTCAGGACCTGACACGCTGGACAGAACGACAGTGGTGCACACCTATGATTCCAGCACTCCAGAGGCTGAGGCAGGGGGATCGTTGTGAGTTTGAAACCAGCCTGGGCTACAAAGTGAGCTCAGGGCCAGCCTGAACTGCATAGTGAGATCCTGTCTCAAAAAAGACCAAAAAAAAAAAAAAAAAAAAAAAAAAAAAAAAAAAAGGGAGAACAAGGGAGTGGATACAAGAAGAAATGGAAAAGGGATTTTAAAAAAGAGAGAGAATTGATGGGAAAAATAGAAACAGAGCTTTCATAAATGGGGAGGGGAAGAAGTGTTGAAGGGAGGGAAGGGGACTGGGAAAAAAGAATTAAGATGCCTCATGTATAAGTACAAATTCCCCATGATGAATGTGATCATTATGAGTGGCAAACACGTAATAACGGGCATGCATATGGATTGAATGTGAGGAGAGACAGAGAGAAAAAACAAGACTTTGGTATGAGCAACTCGCTGAGTGGATTCTGTAGCAGTAGTGTAACCAGCTGAGAGCTCAGGAAGCATAGAATTGAGTAGAGGGGTATATTTCAGATATGGTATCACTGAAGTCCTTTTTAAATATTCAAGTGACATTTAAGTGAGGTATTAAGGGTAGAAGTCTCTAGTTCAGGAGAATCTCTAGCTCTGGAGATGTGTGGATTTCATTGTAGTTGGTGTATACTCACACACACACACACACACACTACATTTTATATATGCCAATGTTACCTTAGAGCAATTAGAAATTTTAGAGAACAATATTAATTCACCACTCTGCTTAGTTCAAAGATTAAAACACACATTCTTACATTTATTCAAGAAAGATTTAAAAATAAAACAGTGAGCATTATATACACACTTACAGTTAAGAAGAAAAATGACCAAATGTCACTATTTTTTTTGCCATTGCGAAAAATGAATGAAATCACATATGTCAAGAAAACAAGAGACGAGACATATCCAACACTACACAGGGTCTGAAAGAAGAAATACTTCAGTTGGATAAAGTAAATATTAACAGGAAGGTATCCATAGCCATCCTTCAACTTTTCAGAACTACAGGGTGGATAATTTTATCTATGTTCTTTAGTTTAAGATGAATAATAGTACTGCACTGGTGAAAATCTAGCCTAATAAAACCATTTCTTTTTTCTTTATTTTTTTCCCTTTCTTTTCTTCTAAAGATTAAGAAATAGTTTTATTAGAACCTGTTTTCACCATTTCTTAACCTTTTCCACTTACCTGAAATAACAGGTTTTGAATTATGTGTATAAACTCTTCTGGACTAAAAACATAATCCATTATTTGCATCAGAAGAAGAATCAAGAAGTAGAGTGGAATATCCACTAGTGCCTGTCCAAACCAGTAAGCTGAAGGGTAAAGGCCTGAAATCCATAGCTGGGAATGAATTTTTTCCTGATGAAGAAATAGAAAAACCATTAAGAGGCCAGAAAACCTGAGGTTTGGGAAATTTTAAATACCTAAACACAAGAGCATTTATTTTTGCTATATTCCCTTAATTACTCTGGTTCAGCAAAATGCTACTACAACTTGCCACATCCCTACCTCAGAGACGATAAAAAAATTTCCAATCATGTTAATGACTTCATTGTCTAAAGGAGCAATGTACCAATTTAACTAGCTAATCTTCTATCAGTAAATAGGCATTTCTGATCTTTTGTTTCCAAAGGCACTTCCTCTTTTGACAAGAAGACTTGGAAATTGCACAAAGACTTAAAGAAGTGGAGTTTATAGCTGTGTCTAAGATTCTGGAAATTTATTGTGAATATCAACAATGGGCATTTTATTTAGAGCCTAAGCACTGGCTGTCTATTTAATCAATTTGATTTAAAAAAAATCTTTTGGGGTTGGCATAAGCAAGAGACCTATAAAATGTTGCACTTTTCTTACTGTCTTAAAGTAAATGCAATTTTTCATTATTAGATTGTGAATACTAGTGAGTAGATTTTGATATCACCTATTGAAAGCCACATTGTTATAGTGATTGTCATAACACAAGCTCTTACAACTTTATCATGGACTGTTGAAACAATAAAGCATACAAGCAGTTAATATTTTTAAGTTAAATGGCACCTATATAAAGTTATTTATTAGACTGTCCCTCAGACAAAGGGCTTCTATCTAGAACATATAAAGAATTAAAAAATATCAGCCCCCCAAATTCAAAGACCCAATCCAAAAATGGGCAGCTGAGATGAATACACACTTCTCACATAAGGAAATACAAATAAATACATGAGAAAATGTTCAACATCATTAGTCATTCGAGAAATGCAAATTAAAACAACACCGAGATTCCACCTTACCCCAGTAAGAATGGCTAGCATTAAGAAATCAACGGATAACAAATGCTGGCGAGGCTGTGGAGAAATAGGAACCCTTCTCCACTGCTGGTGGGAATGCAGACTGGTGAAACCACTGTGGAAATCAGTATGGAGATTCCTCAGAAAACTAGGTCTGGAGGTCCTATTCAACCCAGCTATCCCCCTGCTGGGTATTTTCCTGGAAGGTCTAAAAACATCATATCACAGTGATGTATGTGCGCCTATGTTCATAGCAGCACAATTTGTAATTGCTAAATTGTGGAAGCAATCCAAATGTCCATCCACTGAGGGTTGGATAAGAAAATTGTGGTACTTTTATATAATGGAATATTGCTCAGCTATAAAGAAAGATAAACTCAAGGACTTTATAGGTAAATGGTCACAACTAGAGACCATACTCATAAGTGAAATAAATCAGACCTGCATGTGCAAGCACAGCATTGTTTCACTAGTGTGAAACCTGAAAGAGTTAATTTAAACTAGGAGGTATCGTAGACATTGTGAAATGATAGAAAAGCACTCAAGGGTAAAGGGCAACTGGGATGTGGGCAAAGAGAAAGGAAAGAAGGAGAAATTTTGTATGTTTGTATATACAGGATAGTTAACATAGTTGTTCTACTGTTTTCTATTTCTTTGCTGAAAGAAACTGTCAATGAGTCCTTGATTGATCAATATTGCATGTTTCTGTCTGTTTTCATGAGAAACCACTTTGAAGATATCAATATGTAATACAACAAGCATTGTGAACTTCCTACCACTTTGTTTGTAACTCTGTATTGTCTGTACTGTTCTTTTGCTATTTTGTAAAAGGTTGTCTGCCTGTTAATGTTTTCCTCCTTTTATTTTTAAAATAAAAAAATAAAGTTATTTACTAGAAAAAAACTGAATGCAAATAAATACATATTCTGGGAAGGAAAATGCATCTGAAAGAAATCAGGAGAGGGGATAAAAATGAGCACAGATTAGAGGGCTTGATATTTTCTGTTCATTAATTTTCTTAAAATATATTTACAGAGTATGACCAGGTGCTGCTTTTAAGTTGGCTGTGGGGCTCTTGTGGAATTCAAGTTGCAAGGGAAGAGGCGGGTAAAGGCAGTGCATAGAAGTATAGCTTTAGTTATACCACTAAATTGTGTATGTGCTAATAATTATGGAGTAAAATCGGAAAGGGGCAACCTTGGCAGCTAACACTTGAGTTAGGGTCTGGGCAATAAATAGGAGTTATTTGGGTGACAAGTTGGGAGTGTTTAGGGCAGAGAGAATAGCAAGGGAGTTGGCCCTAAAGCAGGACAACGTTGATATTTTAGTGAAAAGGAAAAAGTTGATACGGCTGAAGCATTGTAGTCAAGGTGATAGTAACATTCGGATTGAGGGAGAAAGATACAGCCGGTTCCAGATCATGCAAGGCATTCCAGGCGAGGGCAGGCACTTCAGTGGTGCTCCTTAGCACAATGAAAAACCGAGATTTAGACAGGAAATTAACACAGCCAGCTTTGTGTTCCTATAGTATTACACTGTCAAGCCCTGTGGAAAATAGAGAAGGAAAAAACTGATGTGTGCCCGCAGCAGAGACACGGAGGTAGTAGCACTCATACAGAAGAGGGATGACAGAGACTTTCACTAGAGTGCTGTAAGACAGATGGAGAAACACATAAAGATTAAATATATTTGAGAAGTAAATTCCTTGACTCCCAATTCACTGGCTGTGGGGAGAGGGTGTAGAGAGAGAGAAAGAGATATGTGTCACTTAAACTTGAAATTTACACAGAACATTTTGATTATAAGTATGCCCCATGTGCTATTTGTAACATACTTGTACCAAAAAACTTCGTAATTTACCTGATATTGAAGTTTAACCGGGTATCTGTAGCTTAGCTGTTTAACCTGGCAATCTTAGCAAGAGTGGTTCCTAGGTTTCAGTGGACAGTAAGAAAAAACATATCCATTATTTATAGAGATGAACAAAAATGGAGCAGGGAGAATTTACAGAAAAAGAATCATGCTTTGACGGTGTTTCTCCTAGCGAAGAGGAGACAATGAATTAAAAAGAATAACTCAGGTAGCAGTGCCATGCACACCTTTTTAAAGTGAGCTCAGATGGCAGTGATGTGGTATCTATTTTAAACTCAATGGGAAAGTAAGGAAACTTGGCTGGAATTATTTTTGTGCTGAAATCTCAGTAACAAGAATTCAACTGTACAAAGAGCAGTGGGAAGAACACACTAGTAAAAAAAAAAAATAGCCCAGTGATAATATCATGTGTGAGAACAAGAGAAAGTGTGGGATAAGTACAGCAAGAGACCATAGCGAGGGAAAGTAGAGAAACAGGCAAAAGATAGTAATGTAGACAACACAAAAAATTAAGATTAATTCTGCAAAGGGAAGCTGTTGGAGGTCATTAAGCAAAGTAATCAGATGATCTTATTTAATCTTCTGGCACCTTATTCTGGTTGTGTGAAAGGAATTAATTACACAGAAGGAGACCAGTGGATAGATATCAAAGTGTCCAGGCAAGGAATGTTGGTGATTTAGAGTAGGATGAAAATAGTAGACATAGAAACAAACAGATGAATTAGATACATTTGCCACAGTACCTAAAGCAAATGCTGGTCAATTGGATAAGGAAGATAAAAGAGGGAAACAAAGGTGAACTCCAAAATTTTAGGCTAGAGTAGCTACAGAGAATACTGCCATTCACTGAGCAGGGAAAATTGGGAGAAGAGCAGATCTGGTGTGGAAAATGAAAGGTTTTCGGGGACTGGGGATTTAGCTCAGAGGTGCAGCGCCTGCCTGGCAAGCACAACATGGTGAGTTTGATTCCTGGTACCGGAAAAAAAAAAAAAAAAAAAAAAAAAAAAAAAAAAAGAAAGGTTTTCTTTTGCTCCAATTTGAAATACCTATTTCTGACCTACTTGGAGATATCAAGTAGACTGTTGTATACATGGAAGGTGAGAACTCTGGAAATAGCTGAAAGGAGCCCAGGGTTCAATCCTAGACAATTAGCCATTGACCCCTAACATGTATGGGAAAGTTACTGAATATCAAGTATTATTCTGAGTGATGCTTAGGTATTATTTCACTACATTCTCACATAAAACTGCTTCTGGTAGATGTAAGTATTACAGATTTTACAAGTGATTAAACGAGGCAGAAAATTACTGAACAACTTTCAAAATTTCATAGAGCTTGACAACAAGAGTCAGGATTTGAACTCGGGGAGGTTCAACTCAGAAGAAGGAGAAAAAGGAGAAAAATAAAGAAGAAAAGGAGAAAGAAAAAGAGAGATGAGGAGGAGGAGAAAAGAAAAGATAAAGATTGACAAGAACAATGAAAACAGTAAACAAAGTGAAGAAAGAACAGCATTTTGTGTTTGTCCTGGACAAAGTTCCTAAAGATAGGGACATTTTTAAGAAACAAATAAATGAAAATGAATTCAAACCCATCAGCGACATTTTCTGAACTTTCAGAAGGTTCAACATCACAAAGCAAGCATGAGGTGATGATGTCAAGCCACAGAGGAAGAGAGAAGGGTCTTTCAGAGGTGTGTAAGTACCATGGGGAAGCAGTGAGATTCTGTTACAGGCTTCCTGAATTTTATATGAAGGCATCACAAAAAAGAAGTTTCAAAGGGACGAAGTCTTTCAATAAGTCAAAGTGCTGTAGTGAGCTGGTTGGGGCTGTTTAACTCAATAATTTTACCAGCCAACTCACAACCGAAAACCATCACTGAGAGAGGGGATACAATTATGTCTACTGGGGATATGACTGTATCAGCAGTATGTGTAAATAAAACCCTAAGCGATATACGACCAAAAGTTGTCATTCGCCGCTAGTCGGTGATATTTCCCAAGATGCTCCTCCTCAGGTCTCATGTTTGTTTTTAAAATTTATTTTTTTAATATATTTTGAAAACCCCTCAATAGAATGCTTGATATTCATTGTGACAAGAACATACATTAGATGCATCGCCTGCATGGTAATCTATAGCACAGCGGTCAAAGGAGAGAGTTCTCTGGACATTAAAAACATTTGAGAACTTTGTTAACTCTTCTTACTTTAGTGTCGTCAATGCTGGTCATGGCGATGTAAGGCGTGAAACAGGCGGCCAGTAGTATCCAGATGAACGCGCTGCTCAGGTACCAATAGTCATAAGTCATATGTTCCTGAAATCATGTGGAACATGGTGAGCCACTGGCAATGCTCCTCTGGTTCACGTGAGCTGTCTTTACTAAATTAGCCAATTAAAGGAGTTGCACTAACCCCTTAAGACCCTTCCCAAGCTGTTGTTTGCGATTTCTTACCCATATTCATTTTCAAACCCGTGTTGGTGTCACCTGGACATTTTATTTTGTTTGTTGGTTTTTGGTACTGGAAATCAAACTCGGGACCTTGCTCTTGCCAGGCAGGTGCTGTGCCTGCTGAGCTATATCCCCTGCACTGGTAACTTGGACATTTCAAACATGTATTCTGATGTATTTATAAAGAACAAACACAAGCAGATGGTAAGAAGTGTGTAAAGGCCTATGATTAACAATTGTGAGGCAGGCATGACACTCTGCTCTCTGTCTTTATAGCTACAGCATCACATGCACTGGTTACATATATATATATATATATATATATATATATATATATCAACACTGATGTCATAGGAGAAAATACACTGTGAACCATGAATGGAGGTGCTATCTTGCTGCTCTCAGAAACTGGTATCAAACCAGTTCTGTTCAACATCTGTGAAGATTCATCCCCTGGTTGGGCATAAGGCCCAAGTCACGACTCTAAAAAACTTCACGGACCTGACAGAGATTAAGAAGTAGGTGGATGTTAGAAAGTAAGAGTACTGAGGCTAGAAGAATAACAGTTAACACACATCCTATATGAGGGCACTGTGATGTTTTTAAAAAATCAAAATCCTGTATAGGTTAAAGAGAATCTTGAGAATTGTTACAAGCTTGGGTTTACCTCTAATTAATTGCCTCTGTGCAATGCAAGTATCCTAAGTTTTGGGGTCTCTTTTTTCCTACCTCCTCCTAAAACTCAGTGTCTTTCTGCACATAAAAGTAGTTCAAGTGCTCCAGGCATGGTGGTGTATGCCTGTAATCCCAGCATTCAGGAGGCTGAGACAGGAGGATTGCTGTAAGTTTGAGGATACCCTGGGCTACATAGTGAGTTCAAGGCCAGCCCAAAAGACATGGGAAGACCCCATCTCAAAACAAATAATTAGTTCAAATAAAGATGCATATGTGAAGATGAGGCCCTGAAAAGGGATAAAAGGACACAAAGAATATTCACTTCATATCTTTGCCTCTGGACACCATTATTTATTTTCCTGATTTAGAAGTTCTCTGTGGAAGGACAAATCAAATTAGTCTCAACAGCCAACCCCCTTCCTCACGCCTTGGTTCATAGACAGCATATTCTGTCCATGTCAGATTATATCCACCCGTAGTCAGAGCTTGGTGAGGCTCACCCTGAAAAGGCCAAGAGAAAGGCATTTAGAAATAACCAGGTAGACTGGTTGGAAAGGGAAGGACTCACTGAAGCGGTTGGTTGGTAGCACTGTAGGAAATTCTGATAGATGATGCATCAGAAGCCAGGCCTGACCTACAGTGGACATTGTTCTTTAGCATCTAGGAGAATGTGCTTGCAGAACTGTAGGAAAATGTCAACAGCTGGGTGGGAAAGCAGCAAATTCAGATAAAAAAAAATCAGTATTGTCTGGGCATTTGGGTAGAAAGCACTTTGGAGTTAAAACATCTTTTGTAAAGGCAGACCCTCAAGTCACTTGCTCCTTTTTGGAAACACCCTATTCTTGATTATCTAGAAAACTGACCCGTCCACTTGACTATGACTGCTAAGGAAACACACTGGCCCCTCTGTGTGCTGTAGTTTCATTAGCTGTGTGATAATAATACTAATATCTTGAAGTCTTAGAGCATTTATATACGTTTGTGCAAGGAAACCACATGGTAGATGCTCCTTCTGTCCTAGAATGCAGAAAGATAATGATGTACTTTGGAGTAACTCCCACCGCATCCTCAATCTCTAGCTTTCAAATGGCATACAAAATGTACTCAGTTCTCATGGCTCTTTCTAAAGCACAGAGGTTAAAATAGTGGCAGAACTGCTGGACGATCTGGACAACCACATCAAACAATGAACAGCACGGCAGCGAAAGCTTGACTGTATTGATTTCTCTGCGGTAGTCTGAGGAAACCCAGCTTTTCAAATGTGAGTGTGTCCTCACCTACAGAGGCAATAAGGGCCAAGCTAAATGGGTCACCTAAGACAATCAAGCAGATCGCCTGGGCTGTGGTGACCCCCTAAGGAGAAGCTAACAGCAACAACACCAGTACTATTTCTATAGGAGGATCCTCCTTCTATAGAAAGGATTTCTCCACCCTTCTTTCTTCTCCTTCAGAAGAGAAAAGATGGGAGTGCTTCACAGATGTGTCACTCCTTTCTCCTCCAAACTGGTAGACTGTAAGAAGAGCAAAATCATCCCACCTCCCCATCCACGTCACAAAAGTCATGAGCTGATCTTGCAAGGTTTCAGTTGGATAGTAAATTGAAGTTTTGGACTGCAATGAAATAATTGATAACAAAAAATGAGCAAGATGCTGTAGAGTATGTTCAAAGTGTCACTTAAAGAAGGCAAAGGGAAATTCAGTATAGCAAGGTGAAAGCAGTGACGTGAAGCTGTAGATTTATACTGCCTTCTTCTCTAACCTGGGTACTCTAACTCCGAGGATCTGAGCAGGCCGGGAAGTTACATGTTCAACATGATAATAAGAAAATGCAAACATTGGGCATTTACTATCACTCACAAGCTATAATTGGACGTGAAAGTGGTTTTAAAATATCTTTAAATAGTTCTTCAAGAGATAATATCTACTAAAATATTTAAAAATAAAATGATATGTTTTCTGGGATTTATTTCAAAGTAATCTTGAAGTCACGTATTTATGAACGATTCAGGTTGGCCTTTGAGATGTTATATGTTCTCTTATATATGTATATGCTTGAAAACTTACATAATAAAAAAAGTTTCCTTAAAAAACAAAAGAGAAACAAGAACTATTTCTATGTTCCTAATTCTAACGCAGCCAGTTCTCTAATTTGCTGAAAGCTGAATATCCTCTAGTAGAAGTTTCTCTTTTGCCTCATTGGGAGTTGAATCCAATACCTTCACACTGAGCTACATTGCCAGGGCTTTTTATTTTATTTTTTTACTTTGAGATAAAGTAAATCATTGAGTTGCCCAGGCTGGTCTCAAAATTGTGATATTCCTTTTTCAGCCTCCCCAAGTGCTAGAGAGATTTCTTTTACAGACTCCCATGGAAAATAACATAACAATAATGACAAGAAGTATCATTTACTGAGCACCTAAAGTTTTCTATGTTTACATGTTGTCCTATGTTCTTATAATCATTATAAGAACTATTATAATGCCACTATAATAGTATTGTAAATACTATTGTAACATATAATAGTATATTATTATCTAATAGTATAATATATAATAGAATTATAATACTATAATACTATATAATGCTATAGTACTATATAGTACTGTAATAGTTATTATTTTGGGGGAATACTGTGAATCGAACTCAGGACCTTGTGCTTGCAGGCAGGTGCTTGTGCCACTGAGCTATACCCCCGGCCCTATAATAGTTCTTATAATAATATGAGCCTGATGTTCATTTTGCCTCACTTATTTCAGGAGAAACTTTTGTGATGAAATTATTATCTGATTTTTTCTGAGACTTGGCATACAAAAGCCTACAGAATTCAGATAGTTTGAAGCTCCATAGTTTGACGGTGAGAACTTTGGCTGTTTTAAACATATCCCTGTACCTAGGGCTGTAGGAGTAAAGAGATCTAAGACGGAAAGTGGCATTTTTTGGTCAAATATTTGTGCTTTCTGTTACTCCTCTGACTCTTGGTCAACTGAACAAGATCATTTACAATCATTCCTAAATAGTACTCATATTAATATATAGTGATATATATAAAACATAAACCTTTTTAAGGATAGGTTCCTAAGAATCAACATAGTAGTTACACATGTCAAAGACTTTCTTGACAACTTCTAGTGGCTCAGTATAAGTAAGATAATATTATACTTACTGCCAAAAATGTGCTTCTACCAGTCTGAATGTGTTCTGTAGAATTAAAAATTCCAAGTAACCCATTGCTAATAATATCTATGAGTACAGGAAAGCAATTCAGCCTCTTGGTATTACAGGCTACGGAAAATCTGTGATCCTAAAATAAAATGAATACTTTTAAATTTGCAAAAAGCAAAGAGAAGTTGAGTGAATGAATTGGTTAAAAAGCATTCAGATTACTGATAAATAGTAAAGCCAAAGCACAAATGCAATTAATATCATCAGGCCCAATAGTATGTGACTTATTTCTAGTACACATAAAAAAATCCAGGGACTTTGATTTTTACCTATGATCACATCAGCCATGTGGCTATTCATGCTTAAAATCTCACAAAAATGTACCTCAGATGAATTTTAGCAGCTCTGTTTCCAAGTGTGTTGTATTTGTTTTATAAGTAAAGGATGTGCAGATACTTGGGAGGCAGGAGGCACGCACGTAGTTGTAAAAAAAAAAGCATGTTTTAACAAATATTAAGCTTATATGTAAAAGCTCGTTTAAATGACATATAACTTTTATACATACATATGTAGGCAGATATATATAAATATGCTTTTTCCTTCCTCAGAGAAAAAAATTATCTACATTGCTAAAATATGGGTAAGCATTGCTAATGCATTTTTGCAATAACAAATAAATCAAATATATTATATCTAACCCAATTACCTAAAGCAAAACTTTCAAAAAATATTTTTCTTGATACACTGGGAACTAATTCAACTGGGTCCTACTGATGACTAGTTTGAATGCAGGTAATTTCTTTGTTTATTTTTGGCATGGTAATGTTTTCCTAAAAATGAACTTTGATGAACGACAAATGGTCAGATGATAATTTACTCATTTAAGTTAATCATCTCATCTTTTTCATTAGTCTACTTTTGTGGTCTCCAGCTCAAATTGCTACAGGATCTAGGCAAGTGACACACACGAGAGAAGCAGAATAAAAATACAGCAAACTGCAGCAGACAGGCCAACGTTAAATTGGGCTGTTGTTTTCAGTTACAAGTGAGAGTAGGATTTAAATTAACTACTATAGAATGGGATCCTATTATATAACTAAATAAATCATTATTATTGCTGCTGGTTGGGTTGTTACCCTGGAGGCTACAGGCAAACTATTGTAGCTCAGCTCCCCTACCCTCATTTGTGTCAAACTGGCCTTTCATGTCAGTTGATTAGACTTATTCAAATTGTACATTCACAGTCCATCTTTGGTGGGCTGTAGTAGAGTCCAACATACCTGTTTATCGCCTGACACAATGATGGCCCCATTGTAAGATGGATCATCTGTGCCATTTCTAGTTCCAAAGGCATCCACCTCCAAAGCTATGTTCTGTCGTCTCAGTGAGTGTATAAAGTTCTCGATGCTGGACCCTACCACGAGGGTAAAGATCAAAGAACACAAAAACGAAACAAAGCAACAACACCATTACAAAACAAGAAACAACAGAAAACTAAGTGGTATCACTCAAAGTCTACCATAATAACTGTCTGTGGATTTACTTAAAAGGTAGAATTGGGCAATAGTATTATTCTATTACCATGGGTGTGACAAATTTTCTTTACCTACCAACTGGCATTTACTTACAATTGCTTTTAGTATAAAAATACTGAGTGACAGGCAAAAGATATAGCTCTGTAGTGGAGCACTTGTCTCGCATGTACAAGGCCGATGGGTTTTATCAGCAACAAAGTAAATAACAATAAAATAATCATAACTGATTAACATTGCAATCCTTGATACTATTAATCTTCTATGTTATTACAAATTTGGAACAAATATTTTTCCAGGACCAGCAATTCAAAGACTTACAAAAGGGCACACCAAGACTTCAACAGTGAGTGAATAATTTACATGTTTAAATTTCCTTTGGTTGCTTTGTGCAATAACCTTTGGGCTTAAGTACACTTCAAAATGTGTTTCTAAAACAAACTCTCTAATCTTGCACTTCTTATTTTTTTAGTTCACTTTCCATTTGGCCTCATAAGCTTTTTATAAACCATTCAGAGTTGGTTTTCTTCATGTTTTACAGGAATCTCCCGAAAACAACATTTACAAGGTGCCTTTGAACACCACGTTCACCTGTTTTGTTGATGACCAGTAAGTGAGTCAGGGGATCCTGTGGGGGTTGTCCCAGTGAAAGGAAGTACATATCTGGAGAGAGTCCCCAAGAGTAACTTTTTTGATATAACCGACAGAGGAGGAGTTCCAAAACTTGAGGAAGAAAGCTAACCCCAAAAAGCAATGACCTATGTGGAAGCAGATATAAAAAAAAAACATCATCAATAGCAACTTTTTTAGGTTATTAGTTTTGAGCAAATAATGAATGTCATAATAGAAATAAATCATAAGTACTAAATAAACATTTGAATCATTCTAACATTTGAATCTTTTCCTCTTTCTGAAACTAGAGGGCTCTTAGGCATCTATCTTTCATCCTTTCTTCTTTCTAGTTGGTGAGTCCTGCCCTAGACATTTCGCTTGGTCCTGTGAAGTCTGCTTCTTATGACTTTTGAAACTCGTTCCAACACCCACTTCTTAGCTCCAATCAGTCATGCATTCCTTCCTTCCCCTGTACCACTGCCACCTGGCCTGTCACCAACACTCTGAACCTTTTTCCCATCTTGTTTCCAATGTATGCAAATTGTATTATGTTTTCATCCACTTGGGATTTAAAGTTCAATAATTCCTCATTCATTTTTAACCCTGAAGGCTCCTTTCAAATGGCTGGAAATTCCTGTCTATAATATCATTCTTGCTTGCCTCCAAAACATTCTTCTTGCTTCTACTTTTCAAGTTGGGAATTATTGTTTCTTTTTTGGCATCCCTAGTATCTCAAATGCTTACTTTCATTTTACCCAATGCCTACTATTTCCAAACAATTTTGCGCCACTGTTCATTAATCTTCTTGTATTTTTTCTAGTAAAATGAAAAAAAAATACATACATTAATAGGTCCTTAAAATCCAAACCTTTTATCTCTGTATACCATACTCTTAAAATAATATTTATTCTTTGTTGTAATGAACTAGGATTAGTACCAGTTCCCATGTATTCCCATGCTCAGTACCACTATCTCTCTGAAATTCTTTCTGTCCTTAGTTCAGTGACTTCCATTCTCCTGTACCAAATTCAAATGCTCCCTAAGCTCTTTCTTTTCTATTTGAAATAATCTCTTTTCTACCAGATGCCACAGAATTGTCAATTTTGTAATATACTTATTTAGCGTATATCTATCCACCCTCTGGGAACACTGTTGCCATAGTTTGGAAACTGAATATCAGCCAGAGGCCTATATGCTAAAGGTTTGGTACCCAAGGTGGCTCCATTGGGAGGTAGTGAGCAGTCAGGTGGGCCATATGCTGTATCCTTAGACCACTGGAGTGTGTCCTGGAGGGGGATTGTGGGATTTTTATCTCTCCCTCTTTGCTTTCTGTCTCATGATGTACATGATGTGCTTCACCATGCTTTCTGATGGTGAAGTGTCTGGCCCAAATTATGGGGCCACTTGATCTTGAGCTATCACCTCCAGAGCTGTGAACAAAAACAATCCTTTTCTCTCTCTGAGTTCATTGTCTCAGGTGTTTCATTATAGTGATGAGAGGCCAACGAATACAACTTTTGTGGCTGATTGATTTTAATACATGTACACACATTTGACAGTAGAGTGCTATAGAAATGTGCTCAAAATAAAAATATTTTGCAGGAATAAGTAGCCTCAGTATAGGCACAGAGGTAGCATTTCATGACGAGGCTGAGGCTGTAGGCATAGGTATGAACCCTGCAGTGGGCTACAGGTGTAGTCATGACCTAAAACAGAAATTCACAGAGCCTCCAAACTGTAACATTGAAAGTCTGAGTGTCCAGCCTGACAAGTACAATGTTAAGTCTAACCTGCGTTTCCAGCTAGCTGGTCTCCTTTATGGATCTCCGATGTGCCAGTCCCTGTGGCAGTGTGAGTAATTTCTTAAAATAAATAATATACATATCTATCTGTATTTATTTATAAATATCTAGATCTAGATCTATCTGCCCTATTGGTTATGTTTCTCTGGAAAATGCTGAGAAATACAGATTTGGGAATCTCAGAGAAAGAGGGAAAGGAGACTTTGGAATGGGATGTGTTTTAAGAACTACTCCAGCTCATTTGAAAGAACAAACATGTGTGAAATTAAAAGGATCTCAATCTTTATAGGTTTTAATTATAGACAATAGAAGTAATTAAAATTTACTGTTGTTTAACAGATCACCTGCAGTTACTGGAATTTATTTTATCTGAGTGTTCTTTTTTATGATTTGTCTCCTTGTATTTAGTTTGAGTGCATTGATCAAACAAATCTGAAATATTCAGACACTCACATGGCCAAGAGGCTTTTTCGCTCATTCTTTAGCTTCAGGAAGCGAACTTTTGCTATGGCACAGAGCTGCTGCTTCCAGAGTGCCATGCCACCTGCTCTTTCCCTTGCTCCGTGGAGGGAAGACAAATCTCGATCCGGCTCAACAGGGCATGCCACGTCTTTTGTCCCATCACTTTGTAATTGTCCCCAAACTGCAATATCTGAAACATAAAATATGTCACTTTTCAGATGCCTTCTCAGCTGTGCCTTACTTAGCTTTTCCTACAATCATTTTTTTCAACCAGTTTCCTGAATTAGCATCTTGGGCAAAAATACAAATAATCTAATTCATGACATTACTAGATCCACTATTAAGGAAGTTGGAGAAAGCAAAAAAAAAAAAAAAATCGACAATGCAAGGAAATCTTGGGGCTAGGGATGTAGTTCAGTGGGAGAGTGCTTGTCTAGCATGACCAAGAATCAGGGACCAAGTTCCAGCTCCACAGACACAACAAAGTTAAGTATAACTATAAGAAAAATGTACCATGCATATGACGTTAAAAAGGGGTTAAAGAGGAAAGGAGGGATTATAAATACACTTGATCAGTTTTGTAAACATGACAAAAGTAACAATGAAGAGCATAGAAAGAGAAAATACAGGGACAGTAAACCAAAATCAAGAAAATGCCTTGGCAGCAATTAGACAACAAAAACAACACTGTTTAAGGAATGACAAGCTGACAACAGACCTTTCAACAGCAACAACTGAACCCTGAAAACACTGGAATAATAGCTTCAAAACATTACAATAAAAGTGTCAACATAAATGCTAATTTTCTTTTCTGTATATCACTAATGTTCAGGTAATATGATATTTTGTGCATATTTTCTGCTTCATGAAGACATAGTGTGATATAATGCTGTATTCAACAGAGACATTTCTTTTCTGCTTTGAGTTTTCCCAATTCCAGTACTGACAAAGGTATGTAAGTGTACTTTTCAAAGTAGATTTTTCAAGATAAAAAAATTGCTCATAAAAATAAAATTCAACTTTCCTGCCTGTCTTCCTCCCCTCTTCTTCCCCTTTTCCTTCCTTCCTGCTTTCTTGTTTCCTTTTTTCTTTCCTTTTTTTTTTTACCTGATTCATCAATAGTTGATTTTCCTTCTAACTTCAGGAACACCTCATTCAAAGTTGTCATGGAAACACCATAATTCTCGATGCCTTTGTTAGGACATCTATCAAGATCCCTGTAAAGGGCTAAAAGTAGGCACATGGATCAAAAGAACATAAATTATGACACTGATAGTAATTCTTTTCTCAAAAAAGAACATTTTAGTGATAAGCTAAATGCATTTTTCATCAGAAACAAAGTTGTGATATAGCTCTTCCCTTATTTCTAAAACATATATACAGTATGTTGATTTCCATGTCCTCTTGGGTATAAAGGTCTAATCTGAAAATTCATTTTCTGTTTTTAAAAAACCACACAGAATTTTTGAAAAATTATTTTATTTAATGTATTTTTAAATTTTGTTATATTATACAGAGTGTTTAATTTTTTTGAAACAGGGTTTCACTATGTACTGGCCTGGAACTGATGGCAATCCTCCTGCCCCAGCCTCCCAAATGCTAGGATTACAGTGTGTGCCACCATGTTTGTCCAAAGAAGCATTTATTTCTAAACTCCAATTAAGTCAAGAATTTTCAGAGAATAGAAATTCATGCTGCCGTGTTAAGATTGTTAAGGATGTATAATAACAACAAATGCAAAAGAGATAATTTTTGCAGAAGTAATTGCTATCAATCTTCCCTAGTTTAAAAATTATAAATTAAAGGAAAGACAACATATGAAGTATGTAAGTAAAGCTTCTGTTTTACTTGTGTGTTGGATATAGGAATCTGGTGATTCATGATTTTTAGTGGGTTGTTAAATCCACCTAGGTTTCTCTCCTTTTTGTCTAAATTGTTCATCCCTTCTGGAATGCATTTAATAAGCAATCAGGTACAACTGTTCTTCATGGTCTTTACAAAAATCATAATTAGACATATATCAAAGACATTATGCATGCATTTAAGATTACCATTATTTCAAAATGAACACTTGTGATCACTTTTCTACATGTCTAAAATTAGGATGGATTACAAATTATTATAAACAGCAGTATTACTTTTTTATCTGTTTCTTCCTTACTAATACATCATAGTAAAGGCTATCTTAGATGTTACCAAATATGATTCGAAATATGACATCGCATGTCAGACATTATTCTAGGTACTTTATATTTAACATTTTCATAATAAACTGAAATGTAGTAAATAACTCAGCCCTCATAACAATGTGATAATGATTCCTACTGCCCATTTTCATTTTACAAATAAGGAAACTGAAGCACAGAAAAGTCCTATAATATGCTCAGGACTGTATGGCTAATAATGCACAGCTAGGGTTTGCATCTAAGTCTTCTGGCCCTGGCACTTGTGCTGTATTGAAAAAGAGTTAAGGAGATTCATATACAATATGCAGATTCATAAACACCCGTGTGCAGTACCTGTGCTGTTTCCTTTTGGACCATGAAAATGGATTATTCAAGCAAGTATGCCACAGTGGCTCCTGGGTCCTCTATTAAGAGTTGGAAAATACCTGAATTCAATTATCTGAATATATTTTTATAAGCTATTATTTAAAAAGTAATCTTCTTTGATACTCTTGGGGGCACATTGGCAAACAACATACTGGAAGACGCAATAGAACAGTGGTGAATTCAGTATCCTCCCAATCTTTTGTATGTACAGCAAAATTATAAACTTTAGAAGCTTTCCTAACATGCCAGGCAATTGTAGTTCTGGTTGATAACTTAAGTAACCTTACGTTGTGGTGTTTATAAATCTACATATTGTACGTGAAGCTCCTTACCTCTCTTTCAATAATTTCCCTGTTTTCACAGGTCACTTCCTGCCCTCACTAATCACTTCTTCTCAGCCATTCCTGAAACAACTTTCCCAAATTATTCTCGAGCTTGATTCTGTCCTGTGCTCATAAATTGCACATTGTGGAACTTGCAGCACATTTGCCTATGTGTCTTAGTTTACACATAGGTGACATGGGGTAATTTCAGGAACTGATATTAGAAGTGGCCTGGCATTGGGTATTACATAAGTTGAAACAGAGTTCTGTACTTAGAAGGCCTTAAACCTAGCTATCATTCTTATCAGCACCATTATAGCTAGTAACTCCATTTCCAAAACAGTCTATGGTCTCTACATTTTGTTACCTGGAAATTTGTTTGTCCTTTCCAAAGGCAAAATATAAACAAGTTTCTCTTCACTTTGCGCTGCTAATTTGGCATCAGGGATGTGCTGTTTAACAAGTGATGTGATACTCTCTGGATCACACATTTCATTCAGATGTAAACTAACATTTAAAAAAGAGTAAGTTAAAGTTATTTTTCTCTAACACCATCTCTAAAGACAAATTGTTAACTATGCATTGTATGCTTGTCACTTCACTAATATTTATGAGACTGAACATGTAGGATTTACTGGAAGAAAAAGATGTAATAATAACAATATAGTCTGATCTTAATCTGTTCAACATGACGGAAGAACTAGTGAAAAGGACAATTACAGTAAAATAAAACTAACTCAAAGACCGTAATTTGGAGTAAAGGACACTCAGCAAAATCTTGGCTGGGGTAAGGTAGAGGGTAATGCTTGATTTTGTCTCTATTCAGAAACACAAACTTGAATTTTCCCTTTGCAGTAATGTACAAGTGCTGCAAGAATTTGTGGACTTCAACACAATAGAGCAAAACTGGAGGTAATTTGTACAGTCATCAAGAACATGGTTCCAAGACCATACTAATATTGGCTCCAGAATTTGGCCAAGTTGTTCAACATATCTGAGCATGAGTTTTGTCATTATGAGATGAAATAATACTTCTCAAAAGAACTTTTAAAGATAAACTATAACGTACAGTGTGTATGAGATAGCCCAAGGTCTTTCACTAAGTAAACCCTCAATACTGTTATATAATTTTATCATTTTTGGATGCAAAATTTCTTCAAGTGAAAGTTGGTCTTTTGAAAAGAAGGCATATATTCTTTGTGAAATTATGGGATTTTTGGAAAACCCATTATTAGTCGTATCCACTGAAATGTACTGGTGTGCTAGAGTGCTGAAAGTATCATAGTTGACTGATGATGATCCTAAAAGTCAAGTTAAAAAATCCATTCTGTGCTTCCAAGGCCCTGTGCTTAGCATTGCCAAGGATACCAACTAGGAAGAATACAGGACCTTCTGAAAGGAGGGTATAACATATGATGACACAAAACAGCACATCACAAAAGAAGTGAGGGAGATGGAATCCAGTGGACTCAGCTTAAGTACTTTGCACTTTGCCAGGTACTGACCCCTTCACCATTTCTTAGTCTTAGATAGTAACTAGGGCTTATTACTACTGCTTGGCAAATGAAGTTACGAAGGATCAAAGAAGATAATTAAATTGCCCAAAGCAACAATTCAAATTAGTTTTTTTAAGGTTCCAGAAAAGAAGATGCTCTCTAAAGAGAAAACACTCAGCAATAACCTTCAAGAATGGATAAGATTATAAGGGATTGGAGGAGTATATGCTGTATAGGGGTCTCCCCTCAAGCATAGAGAAAGGTCATGCCTGGGGAAGGGCAGCAAGTTACCCTGTTTAGTTGGAGAGTGTGCAGTAATTCAATCATGACAAGCAATGATGATGGGGTGTAGATTTGATCAGGTTAGTCAGTCGGTGTACATAATGGGGTCCCCTTAACCACTGGGGATAAAGTGATTTAAAATGCTTTAAAAATGTTAAGGTTTTAGTAGGAAATACAGCAATCTTGACTTTGATCCAAAGACTCTACCACTTACCAACAACATGAGATTGATGAGTTAAAACTCTGGCATGTTCTAGTCTTATTTGCCAAATAAAAATAACAATAGCATCTAATTAAGTTTATTGGTAGAATTAAATAGGGTAATAGGAATAGTCTACATTTAGATATCATAACAACTACCTAAAATATAGTCACCATGTCATAAGTAAAGGGCGTAATAGAAATAGAATTAAATAGGGTAATAGAAATAGTCTACACTTAGATATCATAACAAGTACCTAAAATATAGTCAATGTGTTGCTATGGTTGATACACTGAGTCAACTTGGGGAGTCTAGAGGTTTGGCTAAGTGACTCAGCAGGAAGCCAGGGTGCTTACTTT